AGAGAGAGAGAGAGAGAGAGAGAGAGAGAGAGAGAGAATTTTTTAATATTTACTTTTTAGTTTCAGGACACAACATGTTTATTTTATTTTTATGTGGTGCAGAGGATCAAACTCAGCACCCTGCACATGCCAGGCGAGTGCGCTACGGCTTGAGCCACATCCCCAGCCCTCCCCAGACTTTTTTATTTATTTTCTTTTTAGACAGGGTCTTGCTAAGTTGCTGATGGTCTTCCTAAAATGCCCAAGCTGGCCTCAAACTTGCAATCCTCCTGTCTTAGCCTCTTGAGTCACTGGGATTATAGGCAAGCACCACCATGTCCAGCTCCAAAACTATTTTTAATTGAAAAATTATGAATACATTCATCATCATCACCATCATTATTTTTACTTTATCTTTTTGCAGTACTAGAGATTGAACCCAGGGGTTCTGTACCACTGAGCTATACCCCAGTTCTTTTTCTAATTTTATTTTTGAGACAGTATCTTACTAAATTTCCCAGGATGTCTTAGAATTTATAATCCTTTTGTCTAAGCCTCCCAAATAACTGGGATTACAGGAATGTGTGGATTACAGGAATGTGCCACCAAGCCCAGCTAAATACTACACATTTTTAAAGGAAAGATCAATTCCCTTACTTAAAATATTTAAACTATGGACCATAAACAAAATGAAACTAAGACTTGGAGAAAATATATGAAAAGCATATAATCAACATGAGCTAATTACCCCCCAAAATATCTATTTCTATAAAATCAGTAAGAAAAAGACACACAACCAATAAAAGAATGGGCAAAGAACATAAAGGCACAATTCACAAAAAAGAAAGCAAAAATAGCCAATAAGCTTAAGAAAAATTATGAAAATACAACTAAAATAGCATGAAGGCTGGGGTGTATAGCTCAGTGGTAGAATGCATGCTCAGCATGCACAAGGCCCTGGGTACAATCCCAGCACCAAAAATAAACAATAAAAACAAATAAATAAATAAATGATACACCATTTTAAGCCCATCAAAATGACAGGCAACAAGTTAGACAACAGCCATAACTGTCTTAACTAAATTATGTTATCAAGGATGTTAAAGAAAGGACCCATCAACATATTCCTAAAAATTATGTATTTTCCAGTAAACGGATGGAACTGGATGCTATCATGCTAAATAAAATAAGCCAGTCCCAAAAAAACCAAAGGCCAAATGTTCTCCCCAATATGCAGATGCTGACTCACAATAAGATGGGAGTGGAGGTTCACCAAATTGGAGGAGGAGGAATGGGGGGATGGGAATGGAAAAGACCACAGAATGAATCTGACATAACTTTCCTATTGTTCTACTGTCATGCATAAAAATTAAATACATATATATGCTCCTGACATAAAATCATCTTGAACAGCATTCTGGCAATCGTTAAAATAGTTTAAGATCCATACACTAAATCATAGAAACTATTCTTGAGAAATTCAACACATGTGCACAAAGATTAATGAATGAGAATGTGACTGCAGCACTGCCAGTCACTGTGAAAATTGGAAACTACCTAATATTCATAAACAGAATAATTTTTATATTTGCACAAGAGGAGAAAATAAATGAAGGACTACATGTATGTCCATATACATAAATTCTAAAAACCAATTCCTATACTTACATGTTTAAATTTCAAAAATGTAGGAACTTTCTTTTACAACTTTTAGACACATACATTTATACACAATTCTAAAACATGAACAGTATTATATATATTGCTTATGTATATGAAGAGAATTTTGAGATTATCTAGTAAATCGCCTGCTTCTACAGACAAGAAAAATAAGGAATCCTAAACCATCAGAATGTAAAAAATCTTCAGGCCATCTAATCCTCTAGTTTGAGTGCCCATTCTGTGAACTATCCCTCTGTAGATCTGGCTGGTAAACTTATCTGTCCTTTGTGACTGATTTTAGCAACAAGTACACACTAGCCCAGAAGGCAACCCTTGCAGAGACTATAGCTAGCCTTGTTTTCCTCCATTCTGGCTCCATTTTCTAAAAATCCTACCAATTTTCTGTCATCTCACAAGCCTTCAGTGGAATGAGGTGGAAGTGGAGGTTCATTTAATCTGTAATGATTAGCTAATGGGTTTGCAGGCAGATTTGATGTCTGTGTACAGTCAGTAAGGAGTCTCCGTGACCCATGCCACGTAACACAGCCCCTTACCTGATTCCCTCCTTTGAACTTAATCCTCACATTGTGCAATCATTTTGTTGATGAACATCATTAAACACTGTCAGGAACCGTACCGTACCAGATACTGGGAAAAGTAAATAAAATGCTCTCAGCCCATGGAAGACTAAGAGCAAGAAAGGTAAAATGTGGACTGTGACAAGCTCACACTTCAGGAAGTTGGAGAAGGCTTCAACTGAGGTGGTGATATCTGAGCCAGAGAGGAAATGCATTAAACTCTGTCTTAAACAGCCTTGCAAAGCTGGGAGTGGTAGAGCACTTGGCTAGTACAAAGGAAGCCCTGGGTGTCATCCTCAGTATAAAAAAAATTAAAAAAACCAACACTCAACTTTTGTCCCCCAGCACAGAAGGGTTCAACACTTTGCTCTCAGTCGAAGTTCACAAATACATACATTTAGCATAGTGGAAAAAGCCTGCCCATCTCCTTTAGCATCTCTTGGAAGTAAGGGAAATGACAACTTAACCCACAATCTGGCAAGGGAAGTTTCAGAGGCTGACACTGTACCTGGCTACGTACAGAATTGCTCAGGTGGTTGTCCTCAGACATCTGTGCATTCTGGAAATAGGACAAGGGTGCAGGTAACTCTGTCATTGGAGCAACTGTATAGAAATACTTTTTCACAGAAAACAAAGCTTCCTGGGGCTCTGAAAGGGAAAAACAGAACTTTTTCACTATAATTACACTTTTATTTTGTAATCTCTTTTATAAATTAAATTCAGCAAAAAACAAACCTTTCTTTCATGTGTTCTCCTCCAAGCCAAGCTGTCTAAGGACCTTGAAGGCTGTTGTCACTTGTAGGCTCCTGTATCAGATCTGAAATGGGATTTAACCAGGTCAGTCCTAGTTGGTCAAATCCTAGTAAATCAGTTCATACTCATTAAATACTTACAAGGCCAACTTGCAAATCAGAAATGTGGAACTTTGCCATGATCTGAGAGATGCACTGTCAGCTCAAGGCACCTCTCTGACAATGAGATCTCAAATACAAAGATACTCAACTATTTTAGATTAACAGTAAAGAGAGAAGATTTTAAAGACGGTTTAATACTTATTTGCCATGTTAACCACTCCAATCAATATATATAGTGTGTGTGGTAGTGGGGATTCAACTCCAAGGCATTTTACCACTGAGCTACATCTGCAGCCTTTTTTGAGACAGGGTCTCCCTAAATTGCCCATGCTGGCTTCCAACTTGCAATCCTCTGCCTCATTCTCCTGAGCTGCCGGGATTATAGGCATGTCCCACTGCAACTTAATTTTTATATCTCCAAACAATCATTTGTCTAGGGGCTGGGGGAATGGCTCAGGGGCGAAACACTTATATGCATGATGCCCTTGGTTCAAACCCCATCACCACAAAAACAAAACATTTGTCTAGTTATTTTTAATTTTGCAAAATTCTTTCTATTGTCTTATTTTATCCTAATACAATGCCTCAAGGACCAGTAGACAAGTAACATCTATTTCATAAAAGCAGAGGAAGGGGTTAGGGTATGTTTCAGTACTTAGCATGCCCGAGGCCCTCAGTTCAATCCCTAGCACCAAAAAAACAAACAAACAAACAAAAAAAATAAACTAAAAATTAAAAAGTAGAAAGGGGTCTGGGGATATAGCTCAGTAGGTAGAGTGCTTGCCTCACATGCAAGAGGCCCTGGTTTCAATCCCCAGCACCACAAAAAAAAAAAAAAAAAAAAAAAAAACAAAGAAAGGGATCCAGAAAAGCTCAGTGACTTGCTTATAGATATATAGTCATGAAGAACAGGACACAAATCACAGACTTCTGACTCCCAGCCCCAGGTCTCTCCTTTGCCACTTGGCACAGCTACTTACAGACACAACTGTCTCTCACACTTCAGCCTCCTGGAGACCACATTCCAATTTGCCTGCCTACCTTAATTTCTACCAGCAAATCCTTTAGGACTTCAACTTTGCCTTTTCATAGATACTCTTCAGAAATATAGAAGAGAATGATCTGTTTACATACCTAAGAAGTAACCTGGAATATACTAAACACAATATCTAAAACGTTATCATGGAGGCTGGCAGTGTAACTCAGGGATACAGCAATTGCCTGGCACATATGAGGCCCTGGGTTCAAACCTCAGCACCACAAAAACAAACACAACAAAAATAAAATAAATCATCATCATGTACATATTTACATTAAAAAGCATTTTGTCAATGTCGCATTTCACTTTCACTGTTAAGTTCAGGATTCTCTAACCTCTAAATATTCCAATTTTTTTCTTCTAATTACTTGTCATTTAAAAATGCATAAAGGGGCTGGGGATGTGGCTCAAGCGGTAGCGTGCTCTCCTGGCATGCGTGCAGCCCGGGTTCGATCCTCAGAACCACATGCCAACAGGGATGTTGTGTCCGCCGAAAACCAGAAAATAAATATTTTAAAAAATTCTCTCTCTCACTCTCTAAGAAAAAAATGCATAAAGCACCTTTTTCCTTTAGTAAAGTTCAAATTACCCCTCATTTACCTGTATTTGGGTCATTCAAATCATGACGGTTCAGGGGGTACTGGGGACCTAACGCAGGGGCCTCCTTCAGGCTAGGGCGCCTGCACTACCACTGAGCTACACTCCAGCCCCTCATGTCAACTTTTCAACCAACTAGGCTCTCCTGTGTATCATACATGCTCTTATATACCATGTCCACCTTTCTCCTCCCTTCCCCTTAGCCTACAGCCAACTGGCATGGGATCAGCAAGTTGGAAATCAGTATTAAGTAAGACATGGTAAATGTAAATGTTTTAGGATAAAATAAATTGAAAATGCAAATAAAAACAATTACTTTTGGGCTGGGGATGTGGCTCAAGCGGTAGCACGCTCGCCTGGCATGCATGCGGCCCGGGTTCGATCCTCAGCACCACATACAAACAAAGATGTTGTGTCCACCGAAAACCAAAAAATAAATATTAAAAAAAAAATTCTCTCTCTTTAAAAAAAAAATTACTTTTTTTTGGGGGGGGGTGTCTCTTCACTGGAAGAGGAGCTGTGGAAAGCTTTTGGAGTATAGGGACTGTCCTGTTTCTTAATCTGGGTGCCAGCTACAAATGGGTTTCACTTTGTAAAAATGCACTGAGCTGCAGTCCCATGATCTGTGGCACTTCCATATTATGCTTCAATGAACAGTAAGTAGTCAAAGTAAGTGTTCTTACCTAAAACTCCTAGATTTTTATTTTTTATTTATTTTCTACTTCTTTTTGGGGAGGGAAGTTATCAGGGATTTAACCAGCGGCATTAAACCACTGAGCCACATCCCCCCCTTTTTTATTAATATGTCTTTAGTTGTTGATGGACCTTTACTTTATTTATTTGTTTATATCTGGTGCTGAGGATCAAACCCAGTACTGCACATATGCTAGGCAAGTGCTCTATCATTGAGCCACAAGCCCAGCTCTCCCAGCCCTTTTTTATATTTCATTTAAAGACAGGGTCTCACTGAGTTGGTTAAGCCCTCAATAATTTACTGAGGTTGGCTTTGAACTAGTGACTCTCCTGCCTCAGCCTCCTGAGCCTCTGGGATTCAGACATGTGTACCACACCTTACTAGATTTTTAAGTTAATTGTGTGGTTGAAATTTTAACATTAGTGTACCATTAATGGTGAGCAGAGTACATATTATGCCATTCCTTTCCACAAAAACACCTGCTAACCCAAAACTGCTTAAAGATATCACATTGGAAAATTTCTTAACAGTTATGCCCACTGGCTGCTCGTGAAGCCAAAATTAGACAGGCAGTCAGGATTGATAGGTAAATCAAGTCAGGCTGGATCAAAGAGGCCAATTGGAGTGGGTCTGGGATGCAGACTGCCCCCTGAGGGAATGAAATGCCTTCAGAGCCCTTCCTCCACCCTTACCAAGATAACTTGCCCCTGCTCCAACCTGTTGCTAAGTTAACCTGTCCCAGGAATTGTCCCTCCCTTCCTGGAGTTTTAAAAGTAGTTAATTAATGTGTCCTGGGCTGCTCCATCTGGCCCTTCCCCCATTCATCTGCTTCTCACCTTTTGGCCACCCCACCTGAGCTCTCCTGGGCCTACTCACATCAGCAGGAAGGAGAGAGATAAGCGGGAGAGAGCAGGAGAACAAAGGAAGCCTGAGACACACAAAAAAGGGCAAAAAACCCTCACTTCTTGGGATACCAGGATACCAACAATGGCCCTTTTCTCCCTGCTGGGAGGAGTCTATGTTACTCCCTTTTTAAATAAAACCTGCTTTATATGCTTGCCGCAGTATTCTTCTCTAATGTTATACTTCAAAATATGACGAAGCAGAACTTGTCACCAATAACCGGCGGTATCACTCTGACAACTATATCATTGAAAGTGAGGGTCTAGTATAGAAAATCCTTAAAAATCTGTCATTAAGGGGCTGGGGATGTGGCTCAAGCGGTAGCGCGCTCGCCTGGCATGCGTGCGGCCCGGGTTCGATCCTCAGCACCACATACCAACAAAGATGTTGTGTCCGCCAAGAACTAAAAAATAAATATTAAAAATTCTCTCTCTCTCGCCTCTCTCACTATTTCTTAAAAAAATAAATAAATAAATAAACCTGTCATTAACATTTTTTTTTTTTTTTGGTACCAGGGATTGAACTCAGGGGTACTCAACCATTGAGGCACACCCTCATCCCTATTTTGTAATTGATTTAGAGACAAGGTTTCACTGAGTGGTTTAGTGTCTCATTTTTGCTGAGGCTGGCTTTGAACTCGCAATCCTCCTGCTTCAGCCTCTTCAGCCACTGGGATTACGGGAGTGAGCCACTGCACCCGGCCATTAACTTTTTTATATGATACATCATAAATGAAATAAGTAAAAAAGACAGTGTTAGCCAAATAAAACAAAGACAGAAGGCAAGAAAGGGTAATGCAGGTGAACATAAATAAAACATAATAAATGGAATAAAGTATATTACATTTACTGGTAAAATAAAAGCAGGAGAAAAGCGATTATACATTTAAATAAGATCAGAATAACCTATAACCTTGTACTATAAATTTAGAATAATACTAAACAATAAGAAAGTGATTATTCTTTTACTAAATAAGATAAACACCATCTACTACCTTACAAAACTCAAGACACTGAGATTTAGCAAACTTATTACCTTCACTGTACTTATTTTACAGATAAAAACATCATGACAGACAGAAGTTAATTGACCCGCCCAAGTCAGATCTGGCAAACAAAGGAACTGGATGTTATATTCTATTGCCTTTGTAAAATTCCATCTCTGCCCTTTAGGAATTTATAGCAATGAGCGTTAAGGTACATTGAGCTGATTTTATTACCAGTAAAACCTACTGCTTACAGGTAAATGAGATCTTTAACTTCAATAACTGCTCTAACTATAAATTAAAACCTGAAGTACCAAAACCATTCTCCATAGTACAATCCTAGTATTTATTTTTCAAAAGGATGAAGTCTGGTCATTTTAATTTAAACAGTTTCCATTTTTTACCTTTACACAGGATTTGTTCAGCTATTACCAGAATGCAGACAAATTGATCACCATACTGGAGTTTTCTCAGACAAATCTTAACAAGAATTATCAATATCAAGGTTGCCGCTTTAGCGTATCAATATCATTTTCAAAGTTTTTTCCACAACCATTATGCCATTTGATTCTTTAAAAAAAAAATCTTGAGGAAAAGAATCAGTACTTACATGTAAAAACAAACAAACAAACAACAATAACTCAGGAAAGGTAAAAGCATTTGCCTGAGCTGGTTAAGGAACAAGTGAATTAGAAAGTCAGTTTTAGAACCCAGGTCATCTGATATCTAGTGGCAGGGTTTCCAGTCATTCAGAGAAAAATTGCAGGCCTCCCCTGATGCTCTGAAGGTCACAGTGTTACAGGGTGAGCATCCCTGGAAGAGCTGGCTTCACATGGAACTCAGAGGCAGGCAACAGGGCCTGGTTAGGCCTGGAGAACAAACACATACTGTTGGTACCAAGGGGCAGGCCAAGCAGAGTTGATTAGGGTCCAGTAGCAGCTGAAAGCAATTGATGACTGCATAGAAAAGGTCAATGACCCCACTGTTCAGGAAGCATGACAAAAGACACTCTTAGATTTTATAACATTTCAGCTGAGCCTTCTGAACCCAAAAAAATAGTAGCTGGGAAGAGAGGATCTTTCATGTGACCTGCACTTCAGAAGGAGAAGGAGGGACCGAAGTGGATCAGGTGCCTTCCTCTCTGGCCACCTGCAGAGGTCTGACAGAGCTCATCATTTGAATTCACTGCCATCCATTTCCTTTCTCTCAAGACATTTGCTCAATGAGACAAAAGGAAAGAGAAATTGTAGTCTGATGAGCAACTAGAATTTCTTTCTACTTTATAAAAAGAGATTTTAAAAGTCCCAAGAGAGCTACAAATAACCTCAAAGCTTAGATGAGAAAAATCTGTCCAACTGGAAACCTTCTCTATCCTTTAGCATTCCAGAAAGTATCACCAAGGAAATATTTTGAATCTCAAATTAGGTTTATTAAAAATTCCATTAGTGGAAGCACCCACAGAAAATTGTGTGTGTGTATGTGTACATATATTTTTTCCTCCCTCTTACTACATTCCCAAGATAACAACTAAATCTCAAGCTTCTATAGAACATCAGTAACTTAATATTTGGTACCATCTCTTTCTTAACTCTCAGAGATAAATATTTAAAAAAATAAAAAAAAACTGGTATTGCACAGAAATCTCTTCATGAGTCTTAGTCATGAGCTCCTCCAGCACAAAAAGTTTGTTGACTTGCTTGACTGGCTAAACCACTTGACCAGTTTCTCTTTCACTTAGAAAACTGCCAGAAGTATTTTTTGCTTAATCTGCATTATGATGCTAAAAAGTTTTCAAGGACCAAATCAGTTTCTGACTTATTCTTTGTTCCAAAGAAAGTATTTCACTCTTGGTATCATTTTGAAAGCCCCTCCCCACAGGCAGCTCAAGTTCTAGTTACCCAAGTGGGTGGAGTATTTAAAGGCTCCCATCCAACAGTAAATGTAACCACACTAGGGGCTGGGGATGTGGCTCAAGCGGTAGCGCGCTCGCCTGGCATGCGTGCGGCCCGGGTTCGATCCTCAGCACCACATACCAACAAAGATGTTGTGTCCGCCAACTAAAAAATAAATATTAAAAATTCTCTCTCTCACTCTCTCTAAAAAAAAAAAAAAAAAAAGTGACCACACTAAACTGTATTCTATAATTGAAATTAATTAAAAAATAATTTAGGGCTGGGGATATAGCTCAGTTGGTAGAGTGCTTGCCTTGCATGCACAAGGTCCTGGGTTCAATCCCCAGTACCAAAAAAAAAAAAAAAAAAATCTAAATTAATTGAAAACTTTGGGACTACATCCTTGGAAGACTTCTGATTTAAGTGATGAGGTGCAAATCATTCGCCAGCCCCAGAAGAGATTTTTTTCAAAGTGGTAAGTGCTAAAAAGAGCAAGGACAGTGATGCATCCTATTTAGTGATTTTTCCCCCCTCCTTTCATCCCACTCCACCTCTGTGAACCATCTGTGGTAGATTAGATTATTATTCACCAAATATCCGCTCCCTTCCCCAGAATTCCCAGTCAGCCCTCCATGTCCTCAGGGCCCCCATCTTCGGATTCAAACACAGAAAACATCTCACAATAAAAGAAATGTCCATACTGAAAAGGACTTTCTTGTCATTCCCCAAACAATACAACTATTTACACAGCATATGCATTATATTAGGTAGAATCTAGAGATGAGTTAAAGTTTACAGATGTGTGTAGGTTATATGCAAATACAACACCATTTTATACAAGCTCTTGAACATTCTCAGATGGTAAATAGGGAGGCATTTGTTTCTTTCTGCAAAGTTAAGGTGAAAAGTTTAGATGCCAATTGATTAATTGGGTTTTGTTTGTTTTTTTTTTGTACCAAGGATTGAACCCAAGGGCGCTTTAAAAATGAGCTAAATCCCCAGCCCTTTTTTATTTTGGAACTGGGTCTCGCTAAATTGTTGAGGCTGGCCTCAAACTTGAAATCCTGCCTCAGACTCTGGAGTTGCTAGGATTACACGTATGTGCCACCATAACTGGCTGCCTTCTTGAACTTCTGCTGTTGTTTTGAGATCACCCTGGGTAGCTCCTGCCCCTTCAGCCTGGACCTCAGAATAGACAGGCAAAACAGAATGGTCCCACACTATTTACACACCTACATCTTGAAGCAGAGAATAAATATTGGAGTGAGAATAAATGCTCTAATCTGCTGAGGTTGGGGGAGGTAAGCTGTGTAGAGTTACTGTAGCAACTTGCTTTAAAATAATGGTGATGCTGGCTCAGAAGATACAACAAAGATGAACTAAGACAAACCCAGAATCCTTTATCTGAACCCTTAGGTCCTGTTTACAATTCAGAATTTTTGGTTTAATTAAGGACATATGATGCAAATACCACATGCTATATAAGTTCCCCCAGAGGGCCTTAGAAAATGAAGCACATTATTAAGAATACATTATTAAAAAATTCCTTTTTACTTTTTTTTTTTTTTTTGAACCCAGGGACACTTTACCACTGAGCTACAACTCCAGCCCTTTTTATATTTTATTTTAAGACAGAGTCCCACTAAATTGCCCAGGCTGTCCTGGAACATCCTCTTGCCTGAGTCTCCCAAGTAGCTGGGATAACAGGCACGTATCACCATGTCTGGCTAAACTGTGATAGGTACTGGGGATGCTAGGGAATCATATATTGCTTTTGTCTACTTAGGAGTTTAGTATCTAGAAGGGAAGACAAGGAAATTTTCTATTGACTACATGCTGAAACAAAAATGTTAGTTATACTAGGTTAAATAAAATATCATTCAAATTAATTTCACCTGTTTGTTGTTACCTTTAAAAATATGTCTATACCAAAATTTAAAATTAACATTTGTGGCTCACATTGTTTCTACTGAACAGTGCTGCTCTAAATTTTCCATTCTTTATGCTACAGCAGGCCAAACACCCCAAATCCCTGACAGTATCTTCCTTCCCGAAGCTTCCCTCCCTTCCTCAGCTGCTCTAGACATTGCCCTGTTGTGTTTCTCCTCCTCCCACACTCATTCTCCTCAACAGCCTCCTCACCCTTATATTGCCCCCTTCTTATAAATGTTCCCTAGTCTTGTCTTTGGCCTCCGCCTTCCCTTTCTTCTCTTAGGTATATCCTCCATTAATCCAGCATCAACTGGCAAAGTGACTCATATTTACTGTTCCTTTACTGGCCACAGGGCATTTTCACTTGCTGACACTTTAAAAGTGATACTTCCAAAACACTTCCTGGTCATTTCTCTTTAGTTCTTTCCTCCTGACTTCCTTATTTCTGCGATACTGTCTCCCATCCTCTAAACTTAAAACCTCCTACACAACTTCACACTTCATTCCCTGCTCAATTCGTTTAATGTTTAGTTCAGGTCCTTTTCTCCTAAGCCTCTGCCAACACCGCAGATCGAACTTTCATTATCTCACCTGAATTATGCAAAAGTCACCTCAATTCTCTTAGCCGTTCCAGCCTCCACTACCAGACTGATGTGCCTAAAGCGAAGCTCTTAACCATCACAGTGCCACGCATATAAAAAGAATGTGACAGAAGGAAAAGAAGCAAATATTGAAGACGCATGCAAGCATCAAAAACACATGCATCGTGACAATCCCGATCAAGGAAAAAGCAACAGACCAGCTTTTCGCGTGGCATGTGAGACGTGGGGAACTTGGCCCTGAGCGCCACTCACTTCTGGAAAGGACACTGAGCATGAAGCGCGAGTTTCAGCAGTTGCTCAAGCCGACCCAGCCCAGGGCGCTTCCTCTTTCTCCTGCTCCACTCCAAGCACCTGCACCCTGAGAGGTGGTTTCGGGAAGACAGCATTTCCAGGCCAAAATGGGGAATCTCCAACCTGAACGCGCGCCGCGCCGGGAACCCAAGAAACCGGCCGCCCCTCCTCGTTTCCCACGAGAGGTTCCTCGGTTTCCAACCGGCCGCGCCCCGCCCCTCATCCTCGAGGACACCGGCTCCGCAACGCGCGGCGACAAAGGACTGGGCCTTGTCTGCGGCCGCCTCTGTCAACACCGAGTTAGGGACACCTTTTTCTTTCCCTAGACACCGGATCACGCACCTTCTCCTTCCCGGCCGCCGCAACCCGCTCGCAGCCGATGTTCCTTCCCAAGCCGCCGCTGTTTTGTTTCCGATGTGAAATCGCGGCCTCCAGAGCAGCCCGTCCTAGGCCCCGCCCTAGAGGCCTCACGGGTGTCGTCATTTCCGGCCCTGGCGACGTTGGCTATTAGCCTAGGAGCAGGCGGAGCTTCCGGCCGTGCGCGCAGACTACGGAGGTGGGGGGATCCCTGAGCTACAACCAGCCCTGCGCTCCCGGAGCAACCGGTTTAGGAAGCTGCCCTGTGTAGGAGGTGGTCAGAGATCCGAGGCTCTCGCGGAGCGGAGAACAAGATTACAGGTACACCCGGCCCAGCGTGTTTTTTCCAGCTTTCACGTGATGACACCTCAATTTTTTTTCTCTACACTACTTGTTTCTACGGTTAACTCAAAATGCAAATCAGCTGCATCACTAAGAGGATGCTACCTAAAATCTTAAAATATATATACACCCACTCCCCATCTAATGAACAAAACTTCCGGTGGATGGAGAACCCGAGAAACTCATTCTAAATCATCCTCCTGGACTCAAACGTCTCCAAGTTTGAGAACTCCAGTACTCCTAGACGATAAGTTTCTCAACAGCAGAAAGTGTCTTAGTTTCAAAAATTCCAAATATTAGGTTCACAGTGGGTTGCTCAATCAGGTCATTTCTCCGTATCTTTTTATAGAGCTGTATGCCAACATTCATACTTTTATCTGAAAGTACCCAATAGTTAATAATGTAAGTGTTCCAACTCGGGTGATCAGAAAACTAAAAATGAACACGGACATAACTGGCCAAATGATACTTTTCACATTTATTTAAAGTTTCTCAAGATACACCTTCACATTCCAGAACATCAACCCCCAATCCCGCTCTCCTCCCTTGCCCACACTCAACACTGCTCCAATACTTAAGTGATCTTTTCCATTAACAGGGTTGAAAGAAAAAAATGGAGAAAGGGGAGTGGAACAATAAATGAAAGGTAATCTGCAAAATCGCTGACGTCTACCACCCTTAAATATCTTAAGGGTAAGGGTTTTCGCGGATTTATTCACTTGTATATCACGTGCCTCACAATGCCTCACATATAGAAGACTTCTATTATATATTTGTGAAACATGGCTAAACTTATTTGTGAACTACTTCAGTCTCTTCGATTACAATCTGCTGAGTAGAATGTTGTTCTTAAAAATGCTGTTTAAAAATGTTTTTAATGCTGTTCTTTAAAACTATCTTGATACAAAAATTTTGTGCAAAGATACTCATGGTGTATTGACTTGACAAGAATTGGAAGTGAAATGTCCTATAATAAATCACCCATTTGATGTCATTAAAAATGATGTGCACGAAAAATTTTTTTCTATTAAAGACATGATTAACTATTTACACTCAGCCTCAAAACATTCTTGCAAATGGAAACAAAAAAGGTATTAAAAAGGTAGAGAATGAGTAACGACAGATAATTTTTCCAGTTTTCTATATCCCTTCATCTTTGTAGTAATACGAACATCCAGGGTACACTAAGCAGAACACTGAGACAGACTTGGATGAGGCGAAAGTGATAGACACCATGAAGATATCCAGGCATGGAGCAAATGTCCATAGCTTCTTACAAGGCTGTCACTAGTCACCAGCCATCAGTGGAATGGTGAGGTAAAATGAAGGTTAAGTGAGATTTGAGACATTTGGAGAGCACATTAAAAAAAAAAAAAAAACTCTTTCAGGAATCTCAATAATATAATAGAAAAGTTAGGATCCAAGTAGTGTTTTTTATAAATAATTTTATAGTAGATGGACACAATACCTTTATTTTATTTTTATGTGGTGCTGAGGATTGAACCCAGTGGCTCACGCATGCTAGGCAAGCGCTCCACCAACTACAACCCCAGCCCAAGTAGTGTTCTTTAAAACATGTTCCAGACTAAGAAAATGGAAATTACCTAAGCAAAGCACAAAAAAATAGCAGAAATGTGGTTAGCAAACAGAGCAAGTGAGGTGAGGGAGGTCTTCTTGATAGGGTATGTGGAGTATATGCGCCTGTAGAAACCGGAGATTTGAAGATGGATGTTGTCACCAACTTAAGAACCAGAACTGCAAAGAACATGCTTAACAACTGTTCTAATGTGCTCCCCTTCCTATCACCTGGCCTTGTGGCACTACAGATAGACCCAAGTGCCTTCTGTGAGCTAAGTAGTTAAGCCCTCCACCACTGACGTACATCCATAGTTCTTTCAATTTTTTGAGACAGGGTATATAGCTACATCCTCCAGGATGGCCTCAAAAACAATCCTCCTGTCTCCTCCTTCTAAATACCTGGAATTACAGACATTTACCACCATACCTGGTTTCTTCTAGTGTAAAGTTCTAAATATTTTTTGTTTTTGTATTACTAAATCTAATTTCCGTATCTAATAACTTGGACCATCCCTTTAGAAATCTGCCTCAAGCTGAACAAAAAGAACACCCACAATAAAAACAAGTCAAGTCTCTTTGGTCACAGTTACCAACACTGTAAATAAACGGGAAAAAATGATCTTCGATTTTTTTGGACTCAACAATGTAAAGTGTGTATAATTTTTCTGTTGTTACTAAAAACAAAAAAGCAGGAAAATAGTTGTTTGTAACTATTCTTCAATTCACAAAACTTTGTTTCAAAAAAAATTTTGCTAAAAATGCTTTCAATTCTATGCTGGGATTTTTTTTCCCCCCTATTAGCAAGCACATTACCAAGTCCATATTACCATTTAGACTGGCATTGTCTCATGTAAATATCTGAAAACATGTGATTCTAGAACACCCAAGATATGGCTTGGGGGATTGATAAATTTCATTATGAAACCGTTTGTCATTAGTGGTTACTATTTGATAATGCAAATAGAGACAATTAATTAGAATCCCATATACAGGCTACATGACCATTTGTACAGGGGCTAAGAACATTTCTATTGGCTCCCCACCTCAGACATGTAACTGGCAACTTCAATAATTCATACAGTACTTTGTATGTATACATTCTGCTGTTCCATAACTTCCTGTGTACTTAATTTTTGTCCAAACTAGATAAGTAATAGAGGAACTTGTCTTATGTATCACATCTACTTAAGCTGATAGCATGAATGGCACAAAAGTATACAAAAAATGTCATCACTGAATGCAAAACTATATAAAAATATGTAACTTCAAGATACATTTTAATGGGTTAATTCATACTAAGGTTATCTATAACAAGAACAGCTCTGATCTCAATACCATGAGCTTCAGTGACTAAATAAACATACACCAAAAATAGAGGCATTAGCTTCCTTTCAGTGCCCAACAATCTAAAAAACTCAATCAATCCAACTGGTCAGTGATATAGCAGAGTACACAAACTCTGCCATGTCATATAATTCCAAAAACATTGCTTAGAAAGAATTTTTTATTCATTTTTGCTTTAGAAATTACTTTTACTGGGCATTTTATATTGCTACTCCTAGTTTGACCTTCATAACTTAAATAATAAATGAAATGGAAAGACATATATCAAAGATGGAACAGGTAAGCACTGAAATGCAAAATGATGAACATAAATATTTCAATAATTCACAATAATCACATTTCCCAAAAAAAACCTACCAGTTTATCATTTTGATCTACAGTATGAATGTAATAGTAGTAATAGCTCCTGGGTTTAATACATATTTCCTTTTATTCTTTTTGATACCTATACTGTTTATTTGCCTATCTGGATTCCTTCTCATACTATTTTTATCTCCAGCACTATTCACAAATTAATTTAATCATTTTTTTTCCTAACCAAAATTATTCATCAATCTCATACTGTTCAAACATGACCCAGAAAAATCTATAATACTTTTGACAGAAGAGCTTTCATCAGTTTTGGGGTATTAATTGAGGACATGCATAGAACTTATTACCAGGTGTTGGGTAAAAAGACCATATAAACATTGCATAATACCTGATTACATTTATTTGTATCATAAAATTTATTTCTATTTCATATGAATGGAGGGGGAAAAAAAGAGTGCCAGCTCAAGCCAATGTTTTTTCAATATGTCTACCAGAGCTAGTATTCATGACTGATTGGTGACTTGAAACAGCACCCTGAAAAATAATTACGAATTCATACTATTATATAGTTTATACGAATGACAATGATAAAAAACAAAAACAGTTGTCACTGCCATCAAACAGGAGCTGTAAAATGTCAGGACTACCCAGCCCTACTAAACAAAGTTCTGAACTAGAACAAGGTCCACCAAGTGATTTAAGCACACACTGAAGTTTAAGAAAAACTACGTCAATTTTTTTTTTACTTACCTTTCTTCCTTTGTAAATAGCTGTATATATACCTAAATTATTTTTAGAGTCAAATGAGGAAACAGCATTTTAGTTTTCTAAATGCCAAATCAGCAATGGCTCTTAGGACTTTTTAGTGTAGTTTTATAATAATTTGAATGGGCAATATGAATTAATATAAGGTTTCCTAACTGAAATTAATTTATAGGCTCATGGTAAAGACAAAACTCAAAGAATTTCAGAGAAACATTTTTGCAAGACACTAGAATATGCCACTTCTTAGATCTCCAATTCTTTATATGTAATTCTGAAGAAACTCTGAAAACCTAAAAGGTTTTTGATGAAGCTTAGTGACAAAACTTGATTTGAGCTAGCATTAGACCATGACTTTAAGTCTTTGAATCCCTGCTACTTACTATGGCCACTCCTGCTCTGATCTAAAAAATGTGAATATATATTAAATAAAAGCCACCTAATGTAATATTTTAGAAGCAATAACTATGCAATATGATGTAATATTTTAGAAGCAATAACTATGCAATATGGTAAGATACAGGAGCAAAATAAACTGCTGTGGCCTAGATCTTAGGCTGATAGCCAGGATGAATCTGAGAGAAGGTTAATAAATTTGTACAATTACAGAAGCATCTTTCTGAAATTTTCCCTTAAGAAACCAAAATTTAAAATATTTTATCCCCACAAAGACATATTTCCATATATTGTAGATTCATCCAAAATAAGATAAAAGGCCTCTTTGATCTAATACCAAGTCATAAAAACCAAGCCCATTAAAAAATTCAGCCCATATTTTCTAGCATGTACTACATGATTACAACATGATGCCATTGTTTACAAAACTCTGAAAGAATGAATCCCCAAGATCAAATATATACATTTTTAATGTTTCAAATATTTACATAATGGAACCATATCATGGCTCAATGTTTCAGAACAGTGTTTCCAAATGTCCTAAAAAAATGTAAAAAAAATCTTAACTTAAGCTCAGTTAGGCTTTTCTAACAGGCCAATCTTTTTCTTTTAAATAAATAGACATGGGAAAAGCTGCACCTAATTTGAATTAAGAAAGCACTGTTTAAAAATTGTTAGATTTTCAGGTATATTTTGCTCCCAGGTAATAGTCTCATATACCATTAAAAAAGCCCCTAGTATGTCTCTAAACATATCACCAGTTATATTTAAACTTGGATGAGAAGAGATTGGTAAATGCCTTGAATCATTTATCCTTATAAATTGCAAAGCTAAATTCCTGGTTTGGCAAATTCTTCTAGTTTGTAAACTTAATCTAATTTTATCTTTTGTTTTGACTTTATATTTCTTGGTGCAAGGGATTGAACCTAGAGCTCTACCATGAAAAGTATGACTACCACTGAGCTACATCCTCAGTCCCTTTGTTTAAGGTTTCCCTCCCCCCTTCTTCTCCACTAATGCTTTTGGAATGAAGATTTCTTTTCCCCTTAAACAAAGGAGTACACCAAGATCAAGGACTGGTTATTACACAAATGTACTAAACCCATTAAATTCCAAGTTTTCAATTCTGCAAAAATATGTTCAAATATTATTTCAAAGTTATCACAAGTGTTGCTCAATTAAGTTTTATATGTATTCTACATATCAGACAATGGGACAAAATGGGCTTAAATAAAACTCTCCCAAAATTTTAGAATTTGCATCATTTCTGAGCAATGAAATTGGGGATGAGGAGGAATCCATAGTCCTTTACAAAAGAATCTGAAGCAGTCAGCAATACACAGGAAAACCCAATCCTAACAGCAGACTACTTTTCACCACAGGAGAATACCATGCTCTGGGAACCTCTAACCTTATTATATCAGACATTTGGATTGGCACAATATCACTTTCCTTTTTGATTCTATTGTTCAATTAGGAAACATTTAAGGGACCCCCACCAAAGCAATTAGGGAAACGACTTTTATACATACATTCACACAAACACACTCATACGGAGATATAGTAAGAATGGATTGTCTGCTAATTTTTGCATACTAATTTTAAATTTCACGCCTTCATGAGGGCTTGCCATTTCTCATCAAAGGAGGGTGGAGGTGGTAATAGATATGACTGATACACTTTCAATTAAAATCATTCACATTGGTTCCTATATAGTACGGTTCAATATTAAGTGGAATTCTGCAAAAGAATTGGGGAGTCATTTTAATATTTACAAGGAACAAATCAGCAGAACAAGATTATATCAGATAGGCTGTGTACAGTAGCTGCAGCTTATAAAACATACCAGTAATTTGTACCTGGTGAGTATAAAGAGAACCAAGGATTCAGATGACTTTACAACCAAGGGAGTACACGGGGCATTAACAAATTAGAGGACCCAAAAAAAAAAAAAAAAAAAAATTCACATTTTCTACATTAAAAAAAAAATTATAGATCTCACAAATGCCTTTGAAGACAAAAAAAATTCAAAGTCCTTTGAAGGGTGAGGAAGAAGAAATCTGAAATGGAACTCTAAATGTAAAAAGAGTTTTACTTCACAAGACCAATTTTCTTGGCTTCTGTTTCATATATCAATAATCTCCACATTTTGACTATAAAAACTTCTGCTTCTTCATCAAGTACCTGCAAGAGAAAAAAGAACACTAAGTAACACATGGAAGATAAGTTATCATCACCATCTCCCAACAATAGTGACTTAGAACTTTATCCACTGAAAAGCATGTCTTTTCTTTTTCTTTATTTTTTTAGTTGTATATGACGGCAGAATGCATTTAATTTATCACACACAAACTGAGTGTGACATTTCAATTCTCTGGCTGTACATGAAGTAAAGACGCACCATTAGTGCATCATACATAGTAATAATGTCCATCTCATTCCACCATCTTTTCTACCCCCATATTCCCTCCCCACTCTCTCCTTTGCCAATCTAAAGTTTCTCCATTCTCCTATGCACAGCACTCCATCATGGATCATCACACACTAATCAGAGAAAACATTAGGCGTTTAATTTCTTGGGATTGGCTTACTAGGCTTAGCATAATATTCTCCAACTCCATTTAACTGCAAATGCCATAATTTTAATGCTGAATAATATTCCATTGTGTATATATACCACACTTGTCGAGGAAGCCCACTGTGCCTCTTCCTGACATATCCACTGTACCTCTCACTTACATATTGACTTAAAGGTGAAAATGCTCACTCTCTTAGTCATTCTTCATGTTTGACTTTTCTTCTTGCTCTCTGACTTATCGCATTGCTGCCTTCTCACTCACCCCTTTGGACACCTATTCCATTTCATTCTAGCCATAATTAACTTCTTTAACCAGTTTTTTTCATCTCTTTACCTTAATGGAAACCCTTAACTGGCCCCTTGAGCCTCTGACATTTCAGTAATCTTCTCAGGATCATGTCATGTTTTAGTATCCAGAGGAGAGGCTGCTGTTCTTTACTGTTTCTATTCTTATTAAAAACACATCCATGGAGCTGGGGTTGTGGCTCAATGGCAGACTACTTGTCTCATACAAGTGAGGCACTGGGTTTAATCCTCAATACCAGATAAAAATCAATAAACAATATATTAAAAAAAAAAACACCTCCATAGACAATGCATGAGATCTCATTACATTAGCCTCTTTGCTCCAACAGGAGTTTACCTAGCCAGCCTATTCTTCGCCCCACATTAAAATAAGTATTCTGGCGGTTGACTCCCAACATTGTTTTCTATTCCTTTACCAACACATAGAAATTTCCTCCATCTATACTTCACAGCTTGCTACCATCTGGACTGATTTACCACTTATATTCTTAAACATTCCACTCTGTAATCATAACCTCTCTTTCCAGTTTTTTTTTTCCAACATATTTCCCAGAACTTCACTGGAACCACCAGTTCTTGATTCACAGTTGTACTCAGGTTATTATTTTATTCTCTAACTCAGACATAGATCTCATTGTTACTCCCTCACCTTTCCCATCAACTCTCTTTTCCTACTTTTCTCATTAAAACACAATATTAAATATTAAATAAATGCAACCAGATAATTAAGAGCAGATGGTGTACTTTTAATGTTTCTAGCAAACTAATCTAATCAGTAAGCTCTTAATCAATGGTCTCAGAATATACAAACAAATCCAGAATTTAATTTTTATATTGTAAATTCCTTTAATATTTTAACATACATTCATATTTTAATACAGGCCTAACAAAAAAATTTCTAAAATCAGCATAGATAAAAAATGATTCAAATTCACAAACTAGTTTCTTCATATAGATATTAATAAAAATAATGGATTACTAACTTACCATGGCGACATCATCTAAAATGCTCTGAGGTGAACTATGAGCCATAACCTTAAAAAAGGGGAAAAAAAATGCACACTGAAAACAAAACATTGCAATATAGCCAAAAAGGAATGGACCCTCAAACGGGTAATGGGAATTTCTTATGTCTGAGCAAACTTTCCATTACATTTTCATTCTAAAATCTTAATCACAGTAATATCTATCATTGTAATTCAAACTTTGCACAAGTTTGGAGCCTAAGTCTCCTATACATACATGTTAAAAAAAGCAGTCCTGGGATTGGAGGTAAAGCTCAGTGGTATAGCATTCACCTAATGCTTATTAAGGCCCTGGGTTTCATCCCCTGTAGATAAAGGTTAGAAAAGAAAAGAGGAAGGGAGAGGAGGAATTAAAAGGGAAAAAAGCACTCCTGGTGGAGAATGACAGAATTAATTACACCTTTATAGGAAAATAATGTTTCTACTCCCAATAAATCTTGTATTACTACTATTTGAGGTGATAATGGAAGGACATAATACACCTTGGTGGGAGAAGAATATTGGTTTTAGAGGCAAGATGCTATTATTTATTTCATTCTAACCATAATCAACTTCTCTAATCAGTTTTTTAATCTCTTTACCTTAAAGGAAACCCTTGTCATGGCCAAGAGACAACCTCTCCATTAACCTGTTTCTTCATGGGAATACTTAAGTGACTTACTATTTCCTACAGTTTTCAGGAAGTTTTAAAGACTAACAAAATGTTAACACAGAACCTACCAATAACTTCATAAACAGTCAATAGATAATAACAAGACAAAGCAGATTAGACATCAGTCAACAGCTCTTTCCTCCTTTTACTCTTAATGGAAAGCAAGTGGTTTTACAGATGTAAAGTAGGGTAGAGAAGCAGCAATGGATCACTTAAATGAAACTACACTATGAAGGATTCTGTAAGACTTTCTTATTTCACAAAATGTCTACTAGTTTAAATATTAAATTAGTGATCAAATAAATGTTAACAGTGGAGAGAATAAAAGACTAACCTTAGAACAAACAAAATCAACTAATGTAGCTTCTTCTTCACCTATGTATTCTATGATTTTCTTATTAATCCATGGTCTAATTCGTCGTTCCATCAATATCTACAAAACATAACATGGTTAATGAATAAAAGAATTATATCTTTTACTACATGTACTAAACCCTAAAGTAAAATACAGTATGTTCCTTTGAAAGCTGAACTAAGACAGGTACACATAATCATTTATTATAATCAATGAAGATGTCAACTACCAAGAGTTTTCCCATTAGAAATTCCTTGACTGTGGCATTTACTCAGTGTCAAGATCATCCCTACCTATTGTCATTAATATAATAAAATAAGCATGCCATATTTAAATCCATTCCCAATAACTTGATGACATACAATTTGCTACTCACAGAATCCACAATAGACCAATCCAAAGGATAAGCAAAGAGCTCAGGTTTGGCTGTAGGAATTTTCTCAATTAGACTCTTAATATGTTTGCGCTTTTCTTCAGTGTTTACAGTGCCTTTGGCAGCATTTTTATCATCTTCACCATAATCCAAGGGAACAAGTTTCCTTTTGCGGGGAACATCATCACTATCTTCATCCTCAAATTTGTTAAAGACACTATCTACAGGTAGTTTCTTTCTCTTCACAGAATTAGGCTGACCAGGACTATTGGAAGCACCTATAGTAAAAACACTATGTTAGCAAGATGACTTCACTGCCAAATGTCAACATCTGACAACCCACCATCCCTCAAAAGCAGCAGAAATTACTTTCACAAATCGCAGAGAAAGAGGCCAACTGTAAAAAATAACTCACTACTCACAAGTGCTAGAAAATTTAACTTTTCACTTCTTCTCAGAACTCGAGGCAGCTGCAGATAAGGAGCACTAGTAGGACTATGAAAACAATCGTGAGCTAGAAAGGCATTTTTAATACTTTTCTATCTACCTACCAAGGAGCGTATTCTTTATTTTTCCTTAAAGCAACATATATTCATGGGCGAGGAGAAATGTTAACATACCCAGTTTAAGACTTAGTCCTATTTTTGGCCTATGTTCCTCAGGTTGTTGTTGATCTGGTGAGTTTTCATGAGGAATAATAATACCACAGGGTGACTCGTCCCCAGGAGTGTTGGGCGTTGCATTTCCACTAGCAGAGGAAACAGATGGCGCTGAGCTGATGGGCCTCAGAGTTGGTTTGAGACAAGGCTTTTGCTCTGGTTCTTCTTCCTCTTCCATGGGTTCTTCTCGTTTTTCTTCTTTTTCTTGCTTTTCTTCTTCTTCTTCCTCTGATTCTGGCTCTTGCTTTATTTGTGGTTGTCTACGCCTCTCAGCCTCTTGTTCCATCTACAAACAAAAAAGTTATTTAAAAGAGAACACAACCCTAACTTGTTTTTTGATTTACAATGTTTTTCTGTACAATAACTTTTCTTTGGTGGACCTAGAGCCTTACAATCATAAGCATAAACTCTCCCTCTGAGCTATATCCACAACCCTACCTTTTTTTGTTGCTTAGATGTGAGTGAACACTATTTACTTGATAATCAGAAAACTGAATAAATCCTTCAGTGACTTATACAAGATCTTCAAAAGACAAATACAAACTAATCTGCTGAATTCAAAAGGCCACAGTATATGCTTATATTTTCCGGGGTTATTTTGTTTCTTGTTTTGTTTTTTGGGTACTGAGGATTGAAACAGGGGTGCTTAACCAAAGGCTGGCTTTGAATTTACAATCCTCCTGACTCCAATTTTTGAGCTTCTGGGATTACAGGTATGTGGAACCACACTCAGCATGTTTATATTTTCACTCTCAGCATGTTTATATTTTCACTGAACTATAAATGAAAGCTTTATTTTAGAGTATAGGCAACATATAAAAGGGAACTCAAATCATCAGAATGGTCATAGACAATCATTTCTCTAGGTGATGACTAGAGGTGGTAGTTATTTTTATATTCCTAAACAAGGTAAAGAACAAATTGGGAAAGTAAGGAATCTGAGTCAACGACGAACAACAAAAAGATGAAAACTATATGAAAAGAAAGCATCATTACGGTTACTAAATTTAGGGTACTATATCATTAAATGATTCCTTTTGTCATCTACATTGAACTTTCTCTTTACTTAAACAAGAACTTAACAAAAATTCATAAGATTATTAGATTCACCATAGAGTGAGAACTAAAAACTTTTCTAAAATGACACTCTATTCTTAAATGCAAGAAAAGGGTCTGTTCCTTCTTTAAATGACATTCTCCTGACAAAAATGGCACGCATGCGGCCCGGGTTCAATCCTCAGCACCACATACAAAACAAAGATGTTGTGTCTGCTGAAAATTAAAAAATAAATATTAAAAAATTCTCTCTCGGGCTGGAGATGTGGCTCAGGGGTAGCGCGCTCGCCTGGCATGCGTGCGGCCCGGGTTCGATCCTCAGCACCACATACCAACAATGATGTTGTGTCCACCGAGAACTAAAAAATAAATATTAAAAAAAAAAAATTTAAAAAAATAAAAAATAAAAAAAAAATAAAATAAAAAATTCTCTCTCTCTTAAAAGAAAATATATTTCTGTATTTTATGAGAGGGAACCGAGCTGGCAGATGCCTGTAATACCAGCAATTCTGAAGGTTAAGGCAAGTGGATCACAAGTATGAGGATAGCCTTAGCAACTCATCAAGGTCATAAACAATTTGGTGAGAACCTGGCTTGGTGGTTAAGCACCCTAAAATTATTCCCAGTACTGGGGTGAAAAAGGAGGTAAGGCAACTCTAATCACAGGAAGTCATTAAACATTACCAAATTATAGGAAGAACACAATTCTAGCCACTGGGCACTGGGATCCATCCTCTGCACCTCTAAATAAAACAAATATGTATAAAAAAGGAATACATGTTATGCTTCATGTATTTATGGTGACAAGAAATGAGTCACCAATGGAAAGAAAATGGAGAAAAAAGAACATATCTGTGGTATTATAAATCAGCTTTAGTACTATGGCAATCACTTTTGAGGTTCCTCAAATAACCCAGCTATAAACTCCACTATTTATCCTAAAGAAGCAAAGTCATCATATTACAGTAAATACATATTCACGAACACGTGAATTCACAACAGCCAAACTATGTATCCCTAGGTGTCCGTCAATGGATAAAAAAAGATGTGGTATATACACACATTGGAGATTTATTCAGTCATAAATATCAAATCATGACATTTGCAAGAAAATGGATAAACCGTGGATATTACGCTAATAGAAATTAGGCAAACTTGGAAGGTTTGCGGTCATATTTTTCTCTCATGTGGAAGCTAGAAAGGAAAATGGAAAAGAAAGGAGTGGGGTGGGGAGGCAGGGGGCAGAATCTCATGAAAATCAAAGGGAGATCAGTAAAATAAAAGAAAGGGACAAAGGAGAGGGAGAAGGCAATGAAAAGGGTGAATACTAGGGATGACATTAGCCAAATCACATTGTTATACTGTGGGCATATACAAATATGTAAAGATCCCACCACTATGAATAACTATAAAGCACTAATTTTAAAAAGTGAGGTAGGGAAAAAACACAATAATGAAACACAAAGGAACTATTTGAATTTTAAGATGTCTTCAAATAAAATGATATGACACATAACTGTAATCCCAGCAACTTGGAAGGCTAAGGCTCCAGGATTCCAAGTTGAAAGTAGTCTGGGCAATGTACTGAAAGATGATGTGCCTTAAAACAGAAAATAAAAATGGTTCTCAGTTGGGGGGAAAAATGGCTTTCAGATGTAGCTGAGTTTTAGGGCAACCAAAGGTTCTAGCCTCACTCCCACCAAAAAAAAAAAAAACAAAAGACAAATTAAATGATTTGCAATTGTTTGATCATACATTTGTAAAATACTCAGAATAAAGAGGAAATAAATCCTGCTGCTTTCTATAATAAAAATGAAATAAACAGTACAAAATAGTAAATTCCATGAAGCATTAACATGTATTCCTTTTTTATACATATTTATTTTATTTAGATGTGCAGAAGATCGATCCAAGTGCTTCGCTGTGATAGGCAAATGCTCTAACCAGTGAACCACAACCCCAGCCTCACATGTATTCTGCTTAAACAAAAATACAGCGTTTGGGCTGGGATTGTAGCTCAGTGGCAGAGCACTTGCCTCGCATGCGTGAGGCACTGGGTTCGATCCCGAGCACCACATAAAAATAAATATCTTTATTTGATATCATGTCCGTCTACAACTAAAAAAAATTATTTTCAAAAAATACAGCTTTTAAACATAAAGCAATATCATTAAAGATATTGTAGTATCTCTCACCCTCTGAAGCTCTGCATCTGGATCTGGGTGCCCTTCTGCTAAAAGGCGTTGCCTAATTTCCTCCAGCTCTTCCTTTTCTCTCTTCCGATCTCGTTCATCTGCTTCCATTTCCTTTTCTCTATCACGCAACCTTTTCTGAAGAGCACTCCCCCTGAAAAAAGTAACAGTTCTCATTTAACACTTAGGTCATTGACTATTATACCAGATATATCTAACAGCATCTCTGTTCAATAATAAAAATTTTATGCTAGGGATTAAAATTGTCTTAATTATGTCCTATCTCATTAGGATATTGACAATGAATCTCTACATGTTAATGTATCAAAAATTAACATTGTCTTGTCATTAATTACCATTTTAAATTCTGAAAGTCATTTTAAGTATCTAAAACAAGTAAAAAGGTAGCTTTCAGAGGTAATGGAGCTTTCATTACATGCCCATTCCACAGTGAGTAACTTGAATTTCCTCAAATGCCAACCTTGCTGGGATTTTCTTAATGCAAAAATATTGAAAAATTAATATAAGCAGCATTAATAATACCACTAAAAATAGTTACAGGACTGGGGGATGTAATTTAATTGAAGATTATATATAAGGCCTCAGTACTTAATCAATTAAAAACAAAAAAGGTTGTATCCTCAATTCATTGTTTTCCTTATAGAAACATTCCAGAATGAAGTAATGCAGAATCCATAGAAAAGAGAGGTTCCTGGGGTGAGACTGTGGCTCAGTGGTAGCTCACATGCTTAGATTTTGAGAGGCACTGGGTTAGTTTTTCAATACCACATAACAATCCAATAAATAAATAAAATTTTAAAATTCACCAACTAAAAGTTTTAAAAAGGAGAAGTTGCTCCTACGTAATAATCCATTATGTTTCAGAATGTATTATTATGCATTACTATTTTATGATTCTAGAACTCAATAATTTTCCCTACATTGCAGCATTTTTTTACAAAGTCAAATCATTGGCACTCCTTCAGTTTAAGTTACTGAATTCAGTGTTTAAATATTTTGCCCATAGTGTATTAATATATTCAATCCCATTATTATGCCTGCAACCTATCTGACACACAGTAGAGATAATAAAATTTTAGCAAGATAGTGTCCAGTACCTCAAGGAACATGTAGTTTGATTGAGAGGTACCAAAAAATATCTTACCATCATGCCATAAGTGTTAAAAGGAAAGAATAGAAATACCAGAGAACACTGGGAAAATGCCGATCGATAACTCTAACATTTTGGGAGGCTGAGGTAAGAGAATCAAGAATTCAAAGTCAGCCTCAGCAAAAGCGAGGCACTAAGCAACTCAGTGAGACTCTATCAATAAAATACAAAATAGGCCTGGGGATATGACTAGGCAATCAAAAACAGGAATAAATTAAAATTTTCACTTCACTATACGGATTAAGTAGAAAATTGGGAGAGAAGTTTGACATATACCACTCTTGAATTCCTCGAAAACAAAACTTTCTAGAAAACATTAAATACCCGTAAGGGTTTGTTATATAACAATTGGGAAAAAAAGTATTCTTTGGTGTACCATTATATGTTTCCCCAATCCAAACGATAACACTGAATTATTTATATTTTCCTAATACCTTACTCCTGATTCTCCTATTCCCTCCAGGTCCCACAAATCATTTCAAGCTTTCTTCCTACACTTAGGAAACCTGCACTCTCAGGTACACAAGGCAATACAAAACTAAGCCAAGGAAGTGGCTCAGTGTATAGCACTCATCTAGCATGGGCAAAGCCTTGGGTTCAATCCTCAGCACCACAAAAACAACACCATCAACAACAACAACAAAATAACCTGAAGTATAAGTTCATAAAGCAAAGCTTCCTTACCTGTAATATTTGGGATCATCTCTATCATCATCATAGTCTTCTAAGAATTCTTTTAGTCGTTTAGCCTCTTTAGCCTTTTCGGAAATGAAGAACAAAGTATACAAAAGTAACATAAAAGAGTCATTCAAATAATCCACTTGTCCTTTCTTAGGAACACACTTTTTTCTTATTCAAATTACTTCAATTTTAGAGTTCTTATATACTTCATGTATTAAGTGTAAATCACACTTCTTTTATCTATAAAACAATAGCTTTAGGATTTAATCTATGAAAAAAACAGTATGTTACAAATAATATCTTCTGTGTGAATATAATTATCAGTTTTAAAATAATTATTCACCAATGAAATCTAGGCACACTAGGAAGTAGAAGGTATTAAATTTATTAATCAAAAAATACTTTAAATTTTATTTTATCCGTAGATGATGCTGTTTCTAATGAAATCAAGATAAAAATTCTGATTTATGATCATGCACCAATATAAAGGAAATACCTACCTAACTTAAAAAAAAAAAAACATTTCCCACCCTGTATATTAATACATAAGCACTGTAACTCCACATCATGTTCAACCACAAGACGGAAATCCTAATTACAATAAGTTATACTCCATGTATGTATGTCAAAATGCATTCTACAGTCATGTATATCTATAAAGAACAATTTTTTAAAAATAAATCAGACTACACTCAAAAAAATTTCCCACCTGTCTACCTAACATTAAGCTGATAGAACCAACCACGACACTACATGAAATCACTTATTTTGGAATTTCTAGTTTAACAAATATAACAATCATACCTAATTATTTTATCTCCATCTATAGTAACTATTAAATAAAAAACTCATGTCTATATACAAAGCACACAATGGTTTTTGACACATTTCATCTAGTCCAAATTTCCACAATATAACAATAAACATGAAAAGCCCTCCTAGATAGCAGAAAATAATATTCTTCCTGTGCTTCTAAAATATTGTGAAGGCATCTTAAACACACCCAAAACATGCCCCTTACAATAATTGCTTTATTCAATAAGGATACTCAATTTCAAAATTAGGGTAATTAGTAATTCTTATATGCCCAGTACTTAAGATATACGGTGAAATACACTCAAATTTGTCAAATGAATTAAAGGAGTTAGTATGCTGACAACAGTAACTGACAGTGTTTACATATGTCTTTAATTATTGAGGTATGGGTACACAGGAAGGCCCATCAGGTTAACACTGAAATATAAACACAGCTTACTACTCATAAGATGATGGGGGTGAAACAAGAACATAAGCAAGTAACTGCTTATGTAACTGGATTTTCTTAACTCATAAATACAACTAATTCACATACAATGTGTTGTCTATAGAAAAGCTTCAGATTACCATGTAAGGATAAGAATCATTACAAGAATTAAAAGAATCATTACAATGCTGTTGATTGCATTTCTTCCCCTAATTAATTCTCTCTCATACATTATTCTCTTCCTAGTTTCTAATCTTAAGAATGAAAAAGAAATTCTAAAACAGGAGTTTTAAAGCCTTTTGTTGCAGTAATAGGGATTGAACCCAGGAACACACACACTATCATGGTCGTAGATTTCCAGCCTTTTATTTTTTTTTTTTAATATTTTTAGTTGCGGTTCGCACAATACTTTTTTTTACTTATTTATATTTACGTGGTTATGAGGATAGCACCCAGTACTTAACAATGCTAGGCAAGTGCTGTACCCCTAAGGTACAACCCCAGCCTGCCTTTTATAATTTTTATAATTTTTAATCTAATTTTTAAAAATTTAAATAAATATGTCTAACACTGGATCTAACATCTGGAAAAGCCATAATATCTATGTACTTGCTGCATGCACCCTTCAGGTTACTTACAAAAAATCCCTCTATGTTTCATGGTCAAAAGCTATTTGGAGAAGATTCCTAACTCCAGGGAAGTTTTGGATGAATAATCTCCAAACTGGAGATAAAGAAAATTCCATATTCTGGCAAAGACAGAACACATGGAACATACCACTAAAGCAAATACTATGATAAAATAATCTCTTCATCAGTTTACTTAATAACTATGCCAATTGCTTTACTATTAGCTTAGGAATAGTGTAAATACAAATGGCAAAATTCATGTTGTTGTTAAAGAATAATATGGTTGAGCTAAGGAACAACATGTTATACAGAAAAACATTACATTTGATTTGTTAAAACAAGTCTTTTCAAATTACTTGCTTTAGCCAACTATGCCAACTCAATTTTGTGGATTCTTAACCAAAACATGTTCTAGAAACACTGTTTATACATTATGATAAATTTATTTAAATATTATGCTATGGGCAGCAAAAACTTAAAACAAAAGATCTGCATACTGAAAATGTGTCAAGATGGCTTGAAATACACAAAAATTATCTAAGAACTATGAAGTTAATATAATTATAAAGTTAGTTCTAGTTAACAGTAAGAATCAATCTGGTTTTTACCTAAAAACAATTTATTTAAAAATGTTCTTGTATTCCTTATAACTTTATTTTATTACTTATTTATTTTTATGTGGTACGGACAATCAAACCCAGTGTCTCATACATGCTCGTCAAGCACCATGCTACTGAGCTACAACTGTAATATCAAAATCACTTATTTTTAACCTGGAATCTTACCATTTCTCTTCTTCTTTCTTCTTCTCTTTCAGCCTCCTTCTCATATTCCCGGGTTTTCTTCCGTTCCCTGATTTCCCAATTCTTAAGACGCTAAAAAAGAAATTTTCAAGCCTTAAAAATTTATACTAAGGATTCCACAATAACTAACATACAAAATATAAAACAGAGACGGAGAATATAGCTCAGCTGGTAAACTGCTTGCCTCATATACAGATTCCCCGTGCCCCCCAAAATTAACATGCTTTAAAAACAGAAGAACAGGGGCTGGGGTTGTGGCTCAACAGTACATCACTCACCTAGCACGTGCTGGTTCGAATATCAGCACTACATAAAAATAAATAAAATACAACTAAAAATATATATACTAAAAAAAAAAAAATAGCAGCACAAAAAGTTATTTGTAAAAATGTATTAAACTTGCACAAATGATATTAAAGGGTGTGTGTGTGTGTGTGTGTGTGTGTGTGCGCGCGCGCGCGCATGAAAGTGCACATGTATAATCCCAGATAATCAGGAACCTAAGGCAGGATACTTACAAGTTCAAGTCTAGCATGGGCAAGAACCTGTCTCAAAATAAAATTCAAACAGTGCTAGAGATGTAGCTCAGTGGTGTTAACACTTGCTCAGCATGCATGAGACTCCATGTTTGAACCTCAATATCATGCACACACATACACACGTTTGCATGCTAAAGAAAGCATTTCCTTAATTTACCTCTTGATAAGCAGCTTCTTTTTCTCTGAGTTTTCTTTCAAGTTTTCTTCTTTCATATGCATCTTCCTCATCTTCTTCTCGGTCTCGTTTTTTGTCTTTCTCTCTTTCCCGCTCCCGTTCTCTTTCTCGCTCTCTTTCCCGCTCCCGTTCTCGCTCTCTCTCCCGTTCTCGCTCTCTCTCTCTTTCCCGCTCTCGTTCCCTTTCACGATCTCTGCTCTTTTCTCTATATAAAGGAAAGATTTTTTAAAACTCTGTGGGACTAATTTAACTTTTCTTTTAAGGACCAAGAACAACATATATATTATATATACCAACATACAAATTCTCGATCCAGAATTTATCATTTGTTTTTCTCAGAATTTTAAACTTCTCTATACTCTTTGGAAAGACACACTAGGCGCTGAGGGTGAAAAATGTGGTATAGAAAAAAAAAGTTAAAAAAAAATCAGGAAAGCAAAGGAAAAGGGGCAGAGCAAAGAATGACAAATTGCAGCCCCAATTTGTGAAGTGCAGTCTACAGTGAAAATTAATGCTTCTTTGTTTGTCAGAAAACAAATACATGAAACCGACATTGAAAAAGATTAAAAAATTAAGAGATATTACATATTATATACATATTACATCATATAATATAGTATATAATAGGGGAAAAAAAGACATTGTTCAATCCCAAATCAAACACAATGAACATATTAACAGTCAATTTACCTAACTAGTGCTCAAGTAATATGGTACTGACAAACACAAAGAAAATTTTGCCACATTGCCTGGGCAAAAAGTATAAATATTGACATATAAGCATTTAAAAATGTCAACCATAAAGTCCTAAATGACAAAAATAACATAAAATATTTAGAATGATGCCAGTGATATATACATATCTGCCATAAAAGTTTGTAAAACAATACTTTGATTTTTCACGTGAAATTCTCCATAACAGCTATGAAGGAAGGAAAGGAGGGAATTTAATGTAAAGTACAAACTATGAGCCCATATTGAAACTACCAAAGTGTACCTCCTTCCATCTACAATCAAGTAAAAAACTGCAAAAGTAATGTGTATTTCAAAACTAGGGTGAAAAAGAATGTGACTTTTCCTCCCTCCTCCTATTATCTCCTTGCTTCATTTGTTCGCTTCTGCCCTAATTCCTATAAAGAATGAGATGATTTTTCAAATGAAATCAAATTACAACACAATTTTAAATGAAAAACAACCAGTCCACAAAGGTGAAATTACTAGGAGCCAAAAGGTAAGCTGTAGCAGTCTTAGGGGATACAAATAAACACACACACCAGGGCTAAATGGAGTAATGCTACAGCATACTTTTCAATATACAGGACTTCAATGAAAGGCCTCCTAGAAAAACTGCCCACAGAAAAGATAACTACTTATGTCTGCCCAGAAAATAGTAAATAGCTTGTACATTCTAAAGGGCCCTAAAAACAGGCTTCATGGAGAAGTTAACTACACAGCTGAAATTAACCAATGTTATCCATCTGTGTAGAAAGCCAGGAATGTTTCCTAGCTAGGAAAGTTCTCTCAATTCATAAATGCAAATGGTAACAGGGAGGACTAATCTTAGTTCAACCAAATCCACCAATCATAATTAGTTCCATAAAGACTTACCTTGATCGACTCCGATCTTTATTACGATCTGAGCTCCTTTCCCGATCCCGGTCCCGATCTCTCTCTCGATCCCGATCACGATCTCGCTCCTTTGTCCGGTCACGGTCCCTATCCCGTTCTCGTTCCCGCTCCCGTTCTTTCTCCTTTTCTCGTTCACGTTCTCTTTCCCTTTCTCGTTCCCGTTCTCGCCTTTCTCGTTCCCTTTCACGCTCCCTCTCTCTTTCTCTCCGTTCTTTCTCAATTTCCTGTCTTTCTTTTTCCTTTTTGCCTTTCTCTTCTTCCAGTTTCTAGAAACCAATAAAAGTACTTTTAGAGTTAACTCTGCAGCTTCAGTATTCAGGTTTTTCCCGGCGCAATGCCCATTATTAGGAACAAAACATCAAACCACTGGTACTTTAATATTAAATATCTGTGGTTTTACTTGACAAATTAAACTGAAACAATCACAAGACTACTTTTTTCGTGCAAAACCATATACTCTACACAGACCAGGAATCTCCAATCTTGGATGCTGGGAGATTGTGTCAAGTGTGGCTGTCCACTCAATGATTAATACTAAAATGACAATGAGGAATGTGGTGGTTCTTCATAATTTCTAGAAATACAATCACTTGACTAAAACTGAATTCTGCCCATTATGAATCTCTGTAAATCAGTAATACTAATCATAAAAAAAAGATTTTTCCATTACTTAAAGGTTTAAGGGTTGAGGACTTTAAAGAGAAGGCAGAAAAGAGTGAAGTCACTGTTATGTAACCAGTATTCTGCCGTCTTCTTTGCCCACCCGCTAAAAAGAAACATGACCTGAATTCAGACAAGATCTGCCTTCTGATCTATGGAAATATTTACTCCCACCATTACAAGATGGACAGCCCACCAAATACAAAAACTTTGAAAATCACTCACTTCAAGCAAAAATGTATATTATTGTAATACTTTCAGTTAATACATGTAAAAGCAATATATTTATGCCATTATGCCTGTAAGACAATAAAAATATATTTACAATGATAAATCCATCCTGGAAGGAATGATTGTGTATTAACTTACAGATGTTGTGCTAGGACATGGATCGCCAACACTGGATTAACCTTGCCTACAAGCTATGTTTCTGGGAGGAAGAGCAAGTACATCGTTCACAAATAAACCAAATAACAAAGTCAGACCAAGTTTGTACCCTGAAATATAACCCGTGTACCACAAGGTTTCTATATAAACTCAGAAGAAAAGAAAAAGAAAAACCAAACAGGTAAAACAAAACAAAACCAAAACACATTTATCCCTTTGGTTCCATGTTTAGTTTCACCAAAATGAAATTTAAACTGCAACAATAAAATGTCCATTTTTGTTTTCTCAGTCATGTAAAGCATTTGAAACAACTTTAAAAGCAGTCTTACCTGTGAGATACTCTTTTTCCTCTTCTCATGGATCAGAGAACTGATAGAGGATTATGAAAGAAAAGCTAATGTATGAGACATCAATATATTCAGCTACCATGCCCGTCTAAATCAAAGCAGAGTGCAGGCAGAGCCAGTACTGAATACATTGAAACTACAAAGGGAAGAGATAAGAAATGGTAGAAAACAGAAACTGAAAACTATTAAGGGGTCAAAAATCTCACTTCTGAAACACTTCTAATGAAAGATAGAAACTTATACTATAAAATGAGGCTAGACTACTTAAAACTTACCTCAATGTCATACACTTATAAGAAATTTATTTCTGAGATTGTAGATACTTACAGATTTTTTTAGCTGTTCCAATATTAATTTCTACTGTACAATTCCTCAATTCTGTACTCTTGCTCATTCACTATGTTATTTATTCTATTACATAATGTTTCAAAACTCATTTCAAAAATTTGGTTCTATATAAATAAAAATGAGGTTCTACTCCATACTAAATGTTTTTCTAAAAAGTTACTTATTTATATATGCTATATATGTGTGTATGTATGTGCACACAAGGAGATATATTTAGACATATATATATAGCATATATATGTATATTTTTAGAGACTGAAGAAAGAAGAAATGGGACGTGTCTAAAAAATGTAAGATAGTAAAAGAAAAAAGGAAAGAATAGATTTTTAAAAATCAAAAATCTTACCTTATTCTCTCTTCAGACTCATCCGTGCTGTAAATGGACGCCCCCTGCCACGCTGATACCCTGACAGTCCGTGGTTATTTAATAAACTCATATCAAAACATGCAAAGGTTCACTGAGCTCATTTCTTGTTACTAGAATTTCAAATACCCTCTTTAATCACACCACCCAATGAGAACTATTTTTGTTTTGTTTTGATTTTTTAATATTTAAAGCATTTTGGAAATTCAAAACATTCAGCCCATTAAAATAATAGTAAGGCAATGAAATGCCTGAAGGTTCTTAAATTATGAAGCAATTATCTTTTGAATTTTTTTCAAACAGGGTTTCCTCATAATTTACTAATAGCACAACAAGGTTTGACAAATAAATAAAAACAAAAAGGGGGGGTAAACCACACACACAACTATATACCATTTTTAAGCTTACTCAGCCCTAAATTTGAGTATTGAACCTAAACAAAAGTATTCCTATAAAATGAACTCCAACAGGTCACCATTTGACTCAGATTTTGGGAGAATTGCACGTGTGCTTTCAGACACATTAAATTCCTGAAAAAGCACTGTGTAGGTGGGCTATGGCTGGGCAGCTCTGGACATTAAGTGTTCAGCAACACTGATTCACTGGCATTCATTGTCAACATAGGATATGGAAAGCAATGAGAAAACAAAAAATCAAATTGAACAGAGACACAATGAACACTTAACATTTCACTGAGTTAAAGATCTCTCAGACTATGAACAATACCCAGTAACATCCTATTATCTCTACCTTCAAAATACATTTCATGCAGTTTTGCATTTCACCATCCATAAGCATCACCTTTAACACCAGCGAAGACTCCCAGATGCACTGTCATTGAGAGAAGCTTTAAATAGGCAAAACTCGTGAGTGGGATTTACTAGACACAAATACCCATTTCCAAGCCAGTTACCCCTTTGCATATTTTTCTGAGGGGGCATCCATAAATATAATAAAAAACAGAAGCTCATACTTACATCCTATTCCTTGTTACTTTCCAAGCTGAGAGTTTCATCTTGCATTAGTCACCATATGATCTCTATCATAATGGTGGGGGTCAATGAATAGATTAGCTTTATGGGAATTTACAGTTCTTCCATGCATCTAAAATTTGGTAAGTCTGGTAACCACTGACTTACTTTTAAAAATCTCCCCCACTCAACTAAAATCTAAACAAATATAAATCTTAAATTTTAATCTCAGCTCTACAGAAAAGGTTTTCCTAAAATTAAGTTACACTGTCCCCAGAAATATACTACACTATATGTATGTTATCCTAATGTCCCCTTGAAACTAATTTAAATCTGACCTTGATGTTTATGTTGAAATCTAAAAATTAACTTTTATTCATATTAAAGTGAAATGACTGTAGAGTAGTCAGTAACTGAAAAAACTAAGCACAGTATGTCAAGGACCACTTTAATATGATACTAGTCTTGTTTTTCTTTGTTTTTACCTAAGTATCAATTAAACCTACAAAAAAACATTTAAAAATATATTCTAATGTAAGGTTGATTTTCTTGTCTGTTTGCTTTGGATTCTGAAAAAAGTCTAGATTGAAATCAAGTAAAAAAACAAGAATACTACCTTGTGTGTGTCTCTGAATTTGCTGATCTCTCGAGATATCAGGTCTCTTTTGTCTTCTTCCATTTCTATGGCATTTATATCCTCCTAAAAAACAAGGGGAACAGGAGGTAATGAATAAAGAAAAACCCACATCAATAGAAAGACTAAAGGTTAGACATATTGTACAAGTCTTAACAAAATATAAATAAACAAAAATACCTATACTAACAAATCTAACATTTTAAATAATGAAATCTGACAGAAATCAAATCAGGCAATTAGCAGTAAACACAAGTATCATCAAGCATAAGATTTAAACAAACCTTGGTGATGAGTGGATAAGGGATCAGTGGGGCCACTGGAAATCTGCGGAAAATCTGCGAAAAAATCCACACAAAGATTTTTAAAAAATAATGTTCACACCACTTGGGCAACTGAATGCCCAATACACTTAGACTATGAATAATATAGTACTTGGATATTTTCTTCATTTCATTTTACTTCAGAGTAAAAACAATGTAATTCTCTTTAAAATCCCTAGCACCTACAACATCTTCCAACATCCACAAACTATTGAACAAGAAGGGGTTTATAAGTTGGATATGGTGCTATACACTTGTAATCTCAGCTGCTTGGGAGGATAAATCAGGAGGATCTCAAGTTCAAGGGCAGACTATAATAAGACTCTGTCTAATAAAATAAAAAATGAAAATAAATGGGGATGTATTAGTGGTAATGTACCCCTGGATTCTATCCAGAGTATAGCAGGAAAAAAAACAAAAACAAAAAAAAGACAGGTATTATAGTAGCAGAAACTCATTCTCTGGTTTCTGGTAAGGTATAAGAAACACTACAATATAGGAAACACTCATACAATAAAAATTTACTATAAATCCTGCCTTTTGGGATGATTCTGTCCTCAAACCCATAGCAAATATGGCCTAAAATAAACTTCTCCTTTCCCATTAATCGGCAAAGAAGAAAAAATTCTATGGACTTCAACTATCCTATAATTACCATTCCCAACAAAATGTACTATGCAAATTGGACAGGTTTTAATGAACAAACGAAGAAGATTCTGAGTAATAAAAACATATCTGGCCAAGAAGAAAAAGGTCAGGCACATTGGCTTATGCATGTAATTCCCGCAACTTGGGAGGCTATTTAGAGACACTATTTAAAAGCCATGTAGAGGCCCTATCTCTAATAAAGAGGCTATTTAGAGACCCTCTCTCTAAATAAAATTTAAAAGGGGGACTAGGGATGTTGCTCAGTGATTGAGTACCTCTGGGTTCAATCCCTGGTACATAAAAATAAAATGGCCTGCAAATAATCGCTCAGTGGCAAAGTTTAATCCACAATATTGAAGAAAAAAAAAAAGATGGCCAAAGAAAGCATTGAAATCCAAAATAATATGAACTGTCAACATCCCTTGACAAGTGATCATAGTACATACCTTTTATGTTACTTTTCGTGGTATATACAAACAACACATATAAAATACTTCCAGTATTTTTAAAGAACACTGTCCATAATTTCTCCAAGTTTACTCAAAATAAATTAGTATGAGCAAGCCTCATAATCTCTTTTAACTTGGAAATTGTTGAAATATTTCATTTGCTCTCACAAGTTAAAATACAAAGTTTAAGGGGCGAGGGTTGTAGCTCAGTGGTAGAGCGCTTGCCTCACATCCTCAGCATCCACATAAAAATAATAAAGATGTTGTATCCATCTACAACTAAAAAATATTTTTAAAAAAACACAAAGTATAACAAGTGATATTATAAAAAAATAAATTGTAGAAATGACTACAAGCTGTCTGGACACATACGTCCTCCTTCTTTTCCTTCTTCTTCTTCCTTGGGTGAGAATCAGACTCCTGTGATGGGGCATTTAGCTCACTGGAATATTCACGTATTAAAACTTCAATGGCCCCTTTAATCATCTGATCTCTTCTCTTGGTTTCTTCATCTAAGGCTTCTTCATCATCATTAGTGACAGTTTCAGGCCTGGCGTTCTTAAGAAAAAAAAAATTCACATGAAACAAAAAATGATAATCATCCTAAGGATTAACAAGTATGATTTCTTCAAAACATCTCCACAGTTCTATTAAACAAAGTTGGTTTTACTAATAACTACAATGTCAAATAAGAAAAAACAAGAAAAGTTAAACAAAAACAATGAATAACAATATATACCAAAATGCACACATGAAACTATAAATTAAAATGATGGCTTCTTCCTCGTGTTCCACTATAATTTTTGTAAAGCAGGAAATGCCACCTATAGTAACTATATACACTAAAGAATCAAGTTTAAAAACTAAAGTCTTCCACATGACTTTCAGGTGCATCTAAAAATTAACAATTCATGTAATGTTTCTCATAAGTAATAAACTGATTATTTGTTAGATTCTATTCATAGCTATTTAAAACAAAAAGTCTGATTGTTAACTCTGTTTCTGTGGGGGAAAAATTAGTCTTCTAGTATACTACTATTCTTGGTATACCTTAAGTTCTCTGGTTAAGGACCTAATCCACTAAAACTTCAATATACAGGCTGACCTTAAAACTTTCGATGGGGCTGGGGATATGGCTCAAGCGGTAGCGCGCTCGCCTGGCATGCGTGCTGCCCAGGTTCGATCCTCAGCACCACATACAAACAAAGATGTTGTGTCCGCCGAAAACTAAAAAATAAATATTAAAAAATTCTCTCTCTCTCAAAAAAAAACTTTCGATAATTTCCAATTACTCCTTTCTCTACTCAAAACATGTGAAAGGATAAAATTTTTTAAAATCGGCAAAGGCAAACATAAAAGAAAATATGTAAACAAATTTTCTCATAATTAAAACATATCCTTATGATTTATCAATGTACTTGGTTACCATATACCATGCAATCTTTCACATACATAACAGAACCATTCTCTTTTGCACGCATACCTGGCTCTTCATCACAATACTTGCAACTCTACTGAAGGCCAGTTTCCCACCTTGCAATTATTTAACAATATAACCTACCAACAAATCACTCCATTGCCAGTATTCTTATAGCTGTTGCAAATAGATATTCAGTGAGCATTTATTTATCAATTGGTCAAACAAATTATCATTCAGATCATATTATGTGAAAAATACAGTAAGCCTGAATAAAGTTAAAGATAATTTTACCCTTACTTATCTACCATTATAGGTAACAATTGGGTTATGACACAGACAAGTTCAATATAATGTATCATGTGGTTTAATAAAAGTGCACACCCTCAATAAGTTTCTTCCTTTCTCAAACCTGCCTCTACATCCAATCTTTTTTTTTTTTTTGTGTGTGTGTGTGTGTGTGTGTGTGCGCGCGCGCGCGCGCGCTGCAGGGGCTTTATGCGTGCAAGACAAGCATTCAAACCAACTGAGCTATATGCCCAGCTCCTACATCCAATCTTCTCATAGCCCACTTTCAACTTGGCATCTTTGATGAAGATGCTTTACGTATGACTACAAATAAAACGATTATAATTTACCAACAATTAAGTAAACTGAAATAGTGGTAATGTGTTTATTTTAAATAAGGTCTTCAACTTACATACCTATCACTAAAAACATATCTTGCCCTGTTTCTCCAGTGGTTTTATGTGAAAGTAAATCCTCTGATGAACTGGAACTAAAACCTTCTGTCTTAAGACACACATGGCCATTTCTAATAAAACCTTGTTATCTTTTCAGACCTAAATTCTCAAAATACAGTAAATTAGAAAACAATCCAGGGCTGAGGCTGTAGCTCAGTGGTACTGTGCCCGCCTCGCACCTGTGAGGCAACGGATTAGATTCTCAGAACCACATAAAAATATTGTGTCCAACTACAACTAAAAGAAAATAAAATAAAAAAACACAATTGTATTTAACAACAAAAAAAGGAAAGCAACACATATATTGTTGGCATATTCTCTACATTCTGGTTTGAGTAGTCTCCACACCTTTCTAAATACAGGAATAAAAGTGCCATTATAAATCAAAAGGCCTGTTCATACAAAAATATTTAGTCCCTACATTAAGTATTACCCCAATGTTAAAAAACAAAAATTCAAATATTTGGCTATTTCACCCAAATTACAAAACAGCCATTTTGAATACACTAAATTATTCAACACTAAAATGGCTAATCATCCCTCAATCAACACGTGTAGGACAGATTATTAGCCTAATGTCTAAACTGATATTAATGTGAAAAAAAAAAATAAATTAATACTTTTATAAAAAGGTGAAGCTATTTTTGGTTACAGAGACTGGCAAGTTTAACCTACAGCTCTAATTGTACAATCTAAATCATAAATGATTTCCTGACTTCCACTTCCGTCTTCTATTCCACCAATTAGAAAAGCATACTGAGTAAAAATAAATAGGGAATGTGGCACATGCCTGTAATTGAGGAGACTCTGGAGATAGAGACCGAAGGATTATAAATCTGTGGCCAAGCTCAGCAACTTAGACAATATCTCAAAGTAAAAAAGTAAGACTTCATAATCGAAGCGACTCAGGACACTGAGGCAGAAGGATCGCCAAATGCAAGGGCAACCTCAGCAATTAATCAAGGCCCAGATCCCATCTCAAAATTTTAAAAAACGTGGAGATACATGAAATGCCTTTGGGTTCAATCCGAAGTACCAAAATAAACAAACAAACAAACAAACAAAGACTGAAGAAAAATAAAAGACCAGGGGTATTGAGGATGTAGCTCAATACTAAAGTGTCCCAGAGTTCAATCTCCAGAACCAAAAAATAAAATAAATGGGGCTGGGATTGTGAATCAGCGGTAGAGTGCTCACCTAGCACGTGCGAGGCCCTGTGTTCGATCCTCAGCACCATATAAAAAATAAATAAATAGGGCTGGGGATGTGGCTCAAGCGGTAGCGCGCTTGCCTGGCATGCGTGCGGCGCGGGTTCGATCCTCAGCACCACATCAACAAAGATGTTGTGTCCGCCGAGAACTAAAAAATAAATATTAAAAAAATTCTCTCTCTCTCTCTCTCTCTCTCTCTCTCTCTCCTCTCTCACTCTCTCCTTAAAAAAAAAAATAAATAAATAAAGATATTGTGTCAACCACAACTTAAAAAATATATTTTTAATAAAAAACAAAAAGACTGGAGTGCAAACAAGTGAATAGTTTAACAGTAGATACAGATTAACTGATTATCTAGAATGTTTACATAAACCACCTCTTCAACATTTTTTAAAGGAATGGGAAGTATCAAATAACTCTTCAAGTCTTATTTTTTTTCCAGCGCGGAAGCAGGGTACTGGGGAATGAACTCAGAAGCACTCAGCCACTGAGCCACATCCCCAGCCTTATTTTATGTTTTATTTAAAGACAAGGTCTCAATGAGTTGCTTAGCACCTCGTTTTTGCCAAGACAGGCTTTGAACTCGTGATCCTCCTGCCTCAGCCACCTGAGTAGCTGGGATTACAGGTGTTCACCACCACCCCTGGCCAAGTCTAACTCTTTTGACACTGACTTTTATTGCCTGAAATAAGAACATCTTTGCAAACTTAGGGAAATGCACAGATCTGAGAAATGTTAACTCACCCAACTAATTTCTACGCAAAGATGTGAAGATATTCTAGAGTATCTCTCCTCTTCTAGAAGGTAATACACTTCCGCTCTCTCAAAATATTGGAGAACTCATTCTTGAATGTGTAGTTAACAACCACAAATTCTGAATGTCAAGTAGATATACCTACTCCTATGCTTTTATTGTTGGATATCCAGAAAGCACCAGGACATGGACTAAACAGAAAAGCATGGATAGCTTAAATTACCTTTACTAAATGCCAATAAGAAATTGAAAGAAAAGTGAGTCATAGGGGCATGTAACTGTAATCCCAACAACTTGGGAGGCTGAAGCAGAAGGATGCCAAGGATGGTAACAGTCTGGGTAATGCAGTAAGATCCTGTGTTAATAGGAGATGGGGAAGTAGTTCAGTGATAAAGTGCCTCTGAACCTCAGTCTAACATACACATTCATAAATAAATAAAATGGAATGGAGGAAGACATTGCACCTACAACAAATCTAAACAAAAATGTTCAAACTGTAATGACAAGACATCTTACATAAGTACATAAATCCCCTTAAAATCCAGGTCAGAAAAAATATCTTGCTCTTCCAAACTCATATTTATTTTCAGTCAAAGAGAACTACAGAACTAGGCTGGGGGCTGGGGATACAGTTCAGTTGGTAGAGTGCATGCCTCACAAAAAAAAAAAAAAAATGGAAACTATAGAATGAGGCTGGGGATGCAACTCAATGGAATGGTATATCACTAACATGTGCAAGGGCCTGGGTTAAATATATACAGTGAGAACTACTAGTGGTTTTCTCTCTTATGCCCCAAAGTCTGACTAAACAGCCTGAATGCAGTAACACAAGGTTCCCTATCATTATGTAAGTGACTGCTATCTAAATCCCTTCAAATAATCAACAATTAAGGACAAAGAATAAGCATCCACTCATATTTTCTCTTTAAACTTGTGGCAAATATATAGTAAGTACTCCACTATACAGTTATATTTGCTAAGGTTATTTGAAAAAAAATTTATATTACATAAGATTGTTCAACTTTTTTCTTACATGCTAAGTTATTGAATAAACTTATGTTTGAGCAAAAAATAACGGGGCAATATGCAATCTACATTCAAAAGTATACAATTAATGTTTGGAAAAATAAAATCCATAAACAACATCGGTTTTAATTCAATGTTATCTAAGAAAATCGTTCTTTTGCAGTTTTTATATTTTGGAGGGGTACAGAATACTAAACATGGTAAACACCACTGAACTGTATCATCTATCCTTTTTAGCATTCTGACTGGAGTGAGATAAAATCTTAGTTTTGATTTACATTTCCATAATTGCTAAAAATGCTTAACATTTTTTCATTGACCAATGTATACATTCTCTGTGAATGATATCTTTAGTTCCCTAGCCCGATAATTCATTGGGTTATTTGGTTTTTTTTGGTGTTAATTTTCTGAGTTCTTTAGTGTGTGTATGGTAGATTTTCTTCCCATTCTGCAGGCTCTCTCTTCATGCTATTCACTGTTTCCTTTTCAGAGAAGCAGCTTTTTACTTTGAATCCATCCAATTTATTGATTTTTTAATTTTATTTCTTGTGCTTTAAGGGTTGTGTTAAGGGAAATTAGTTCCTAAGCCAACATGATGAAAACTTGGGTCTACCTTTTCTTCTATTAGGCACAAGATGTGTAATCTACTGCCTCGACTTTTGAGTTTTCTGCAGGGTGAGACATAAGGGTTTATTTTCATTTTGGTACATGTGGATTTCCAGTTTTCCCAGCACCATTTGTTAAAGAGGCTTTTTTTTTTTCACCAATGTATGTTTTTGGCGCCTTGGTCTAGCATGAAGAAACTGTCTCTGTATCTTCTATTTTGTACCATTGATCTACATGTCTATTTTGAGGTCAATATCATGATGGTTTTGTGACTGTAATTCGGTAGCATACTTCAAGGTCTGGTATTGTGATGACTCTTTGTTTAGTTTTTCTTTGGAAGATCTATCCAGTGGTGAGAAGTGTGTTAAAAGTCTCCTACTATTAGTATGTTGTTGTCTATTTGATTCTTGAAATTGAGAAGGCTTTGTTTGATGTACATAGATGCTCCACTGTTAAATAAATTAATTATTTAAGTTAAATAAATAAATATTTACGATTGGTATGTCTTCTTGATGGATGATTCCCTTAAGCAAGACGAAAGGCCCCTTTTTTATATCTTCTAACTTTGAAGTCCACTTTGTCTGATTATTTGTGTAGTCCACGCATGTGATATGTTCTTTTCATCCTTTCACCTTCAGTCTGGATCTTTTTGCCTAGGAGTTTCTTGAAGATAGCATATGGCTGGGTCTATTTTTTTATGTCCCATCTGCCAGTCTATATCTTTCAATTGATAGGTGTATGCCATTAACATTCAGGGTTATTATTGATATGATTTGTATTCCTGTCGTTTTGGTTTTTGGTTTTAAATTTGATCTTGTTGTCTCCTTTGATTGGCTTTTCCTCCTTTTGCTGATTTTCATCATTTTTTATTTCCATTTACTCCTCATGAAATATTTGCTGAGGGCTGGGGATGTGGCTCAAGCGGTAGCGCGCTGGCCTGGCATGCATGCGGCCCGGGTTCGATCCTCAGCACCACATACAAAACAAAGATGTTGTGTCCGCCGATAACTAAAAAATAAATATTAAAATTCTCTCTCTCTCCCTCTCTCTCTCACTCTCTTAAAAAAAAAAAAAAAGAAATATTTTGCTGAGAATGTTCTGTAGTGCATTTCTCTTCATGTTTCAACAGTTACTTACACTGAAGGAAATGGTAGATTTTTAATTTATGTTTCATAATTTGCTTCAATTTCTTTTTTTTTTTTAAGTAAAAGAATATATAAGGTAGTAGGTCAGTGGAAAGAACATATAAGGTAGTAGCTCAATGGTAGAGTACTTGCCTGGTATGTGTGAGTGTTACGCACTAGATTCAATTCTCAGCACTATAAATAAATAAATGAACGAATGAATGAATGAAGGCCCATCGGCAACTTAAAAAAAAAAAAGGTAAAATGTTTTTAAAATGGAAAGGTCCATTAACAACTAAAAAAAAAATGGAGAGAAATCAAGAAAGAAATTTCTATCTTGAAATGCAATGAGAAAGTGAAATCAAAGGGCTACTTAAGGTTTTATTTTGGGGGGCGGCAGTGAAAGGAGAATTAAGCCTAGGGGCACTTGAAGCTGAGCCACATCCCAAAACCTATTTTTTTCTAAATATTCATTTTTTTTTAATTTCAATATTTATTTTTCAGTTTTCAGTAGACACAACATCTTTGTTTGTATGTGTTGCTGAGGATCGAACCCGGGCCGCACGCATGCCAGGCGAGTGTGCTACAGCTTGAGCCACATCCCCAGCCCTAAATATTCATTTTTTAATCATAGGTGGACACAATGTATTTATTTTACTTAATGTGGTGCTGAGGATAGAACCCAGTGCCTCACACATGCTAGGCAAGCACACTACCTCTGAGCCATAACCACCACAGTCTCTACCCCTATTTTGTAAATACAAAATGAAAGAGAAAGGATTTCACTGAATAGCTTAGCATCTTATTTTTGTTGAGGCTGGCTTTGAACTCTCGATCCTCCCCTCAGCTTCCCAAGTTGCTGGAATTAAAGTTGTGTACCACCATGCCCAGCCCCGATTTCATTTTATTTGTTGAGAGGAAGATAGTAATAGATCTTCTGCTGGGGTCGTGGCTTAGCATTAGAGTGTTCGCCTACCACACACAAGGCCCCTCATTTGATCCTCAGCACCACATAAAAATAAATAAAATAAAGGTATTTTGTCCAATTACAACTAAAAATATATATATATTAAAAAAAAATAAACAAAAGATCTGCTTAAAGATCTGTTCAATCTAATGTTTCAAAAAGGAACTAGGGAGGAATAAACACGTAATATATTCAGGTTTAAGATATGCTTTGCTTTAGAAGGGGAGGTAATAATACATACAACATCATCCAAAAATTTCTTTTATTTATGATTACCTGAATAAAGAAACCCAACTAGGTAGTGACTTATTTTCATTCATTTTAGAATCTGTGTACTTCTAAAGTACAGGGCAACTAATGATAATTGTGTAGGCGGAAATTTTTTTTGTACTTACTTACAAAGCTGCCTTAATGAATTATCTCTGTTAGGAATAGTCTGTACCAGTGTTTTCTCTGGCAAGTTAAACTTGTCCAGCCTCCCTTACTACCTTCATCCCAACCTGGAATAAGCAAACCAACAGTCATGCACCCACTGTGGGTAGATAAAAGACATATAATAACTACAAACTATAAAATATCTTCTTGCATTTAAGCCCTAAGCACACACAATACAATAACAACAATCTTGTGAATCCCCATTTTAGATTCATCTATAATAGGAAGTATTCACAGTGAAAGAGCATCTGACATACAAATGTTTACACTATAGAAAACATACCCCATTAGAAGCTTTCTTCTTTGCTTTCCATTCGTCCAGTTGTGCTTTTGTTTTTGCATCAACTTTAACAAGTAACTTCTTCTCTCCAATCTGCAGATCATGTAATAATCTGAGTGCACGGAGAGTAGATTCTGGCTCCTTATACTCACAGAATCCAAAAGCTAGGTATAAAGAGTTAATGATTCATCAATAAAAGACAAAAATTGATGAAGAATCAAAATGATTAGGCAAATGTACCAATAAGGATGAATACTCTGTCCTTCATTGCCCTTTCATAATCATTTTGGTTTTAGCAACATCAAAAACCAACAGAAAAAAAGAAGAGGAGGGAAAAAACAGGAGAAAAGAAAAACTCAAATTAAGCAAACTGGTACTTATTGGACACTCTGATAAAAAAAATAGCAATGTCTGGGCTGGGGATGTGGCTCAAGCGGTAGTGCGCTCACCTAGCATGCACAGGGCGCTTAGTTCGATTCTTAGCACCACATAAAAATAAAAAAATAAAGATGTGTCCACCGAAAACTAAAAAAATAAATATTAAAAAAATTCTCTTAAAAAAAAATTAGCAGAAGAGGGGAGGGGAGGGAAGGGGAGGGGGGATAGTAGGGAATAGGATAGACAGCTGAATACATCAGACACTAGAATGGCAATATGTAAATCAATGGAAGTGTAACTGATGTGATACAGCAATCTGTATACGGGGTAAAAATGGGAGTTCATAACCCACTTGAATCAAACTGTGAAATATGATATATTAAGAACTATGTAATGTTTTGAACGACCAACAATAAAAAAAAAATAGCAATGTCAGTGAATTTCATGATTAAACTGATTATTGATTACTTCACTAATCATTCTATCCAGACATCCTAAGAGCAACAAATAAGCAATAACAAACTGGTTGAACCTAAGCAAAGCACTTTTCAATTCTGAGAGGATAAAATTATAAAAAGTATTTATCTATTTCCTTCTATAACTAGGCAATAGCACTATTAATGTCTTTAAACAAAATAAAGATGTTAAAACAACCCAGGGAACCCAAAGTTAAAAACAAATTATTCTAAATATGTATACAAATAATGCCATAATGGCACAAGGAGGAACTATTCTTAACGATATTAAACCAGCAGATTTAACCATACATTTTTAGTGTGATATAACCTAAGGACAAAAAGCCTTGCAAAAAAAAGAGTAACTTTCAAAATTCACAATGTTGATGATACTACTGGTATTATTTTAGTCTGAACTGTTACATATACAATGTGAGGTAAGACAAAACAAGTTAGTGATAAATATTGCCTCCACTGTTCTTGAAACTCCAGATTCTCAACGTGTGACAAACATCAGAAGACACAAAATAAAAATTTTTCATTCCAGAATTTAAATGAATATATACCAAAAAAAAAACCTAAAAGCAAAAACCAAACCAGGTATAATGAGTTACTCAACATTGTGATTTTCAAAATAATTTTTCATTAAAAGCTCCTTAAAGAAATTGCAGGGCTGGGGATGTGGCTCAAGCGGTAGCACGCTCGCCTGGCATGCGTGCGGCCCGGGTTCGATCCTCAGCTCCACATACCAACAAAGATGTTGTGTCTGCCGAGAACTAAAAAATAAATATTAAAAAATTCTTTCTCTCTCTCTCTCTCCTCTCTCACTCTCTCTTTTAAAAAAAATAAAAGAAAATAAAGAAAAGAAATTGCAATTCCAGGGCTGAGGCTTGGCCTGAGTGGTAGAGTGCTTGCCTTGAAGGTGTGAGGCCCTGAGATCGATCCTCAGCACCACACAAAATAAAGATAGTGTGTCCATCTATAACCAAAAAAACTAAAAATTTTAAAAAAAAAGAAATATATGATTCCAAGCCTGGACCAGAAAATCTATCAGAATAATCTGCTGTGAATATCAGGTCACATCAGATAATAAGGAAGCTACAAAGACAATGTGGGTCAAAACAAAATCACTGGAGATCCAATGTGCAGAGATAACTTAAGCCAACTTAAACTTTTAACTTAATAATAACGACAACGAATCCATTCTAAACATAGTAACATTAAATATTTTTCCATCCTTATGTTCAAATATTATCTTTATCCTCAGAACCACATAAAAATAAATAAAGATATTGGTTATGCACAATGGCACACGCCTATAATCCCAGCGGCTTGGAAACCTGAGACAGGAGGATCTCTAATTCAAAGTCAGCCTCAGCATTGGTGAGGCACTTAACAATTCAGTGAGACCTATCTCTAAATAAAATATAAAATAGGGCTGGGAATGTGGCTCAGTAGTTAAGTGCTCCTGAGTTGAATCCCCAGTACAAAAAAATAAAACAATAAAATAAAAGTATTAAAAAAAAGAGAGAGAGGGCTGGGGATGTAGCTCAAGCGATGGTGCGCTCGCCTGGCATGCGAGGGGTGCTAGGTTCGATCCTCAGCACCACATAAAAATAAAATAAAGATGCTCTGTCCACCGAAAACTAAAAAATTAGAAAGAGAGATAGAGACAGAGAGAGAGAGAGAGAGAGAGAGAGAGAGAGAATCAGCTGGGTACAACAGTTCATGCCTATAATTCCTGTGATTAGGAAGGTTGAGGCAAAAGGATTACAAATTCAAGGTCATCCTCAGGAATTTAATGAGATCTAGTCACGCAAAAAAAAAAAAACAGAAAAAACGGATGAGAATGGCTTAGTTGCTGAACACTCCTGTGTTCAATCCCTGGTACCAAAACTAATAAAATAAATAATACAAAGAAAATCAATTGTGCAGGGTACTGACAAAATGCAATACATTAACAATGGATGATGAGTAAATGGGAATTTATCCCACTATTCTAATGTTATGCACATGAATTTTTCCATATCAAAGTATTTAGAAGATATATTTTCAGAGCTGAATGTGTGGCACAGTGGTAGAATGCTAGCCTAGCAGTGGTCAGGGCCCTAGGCTGTATCTGCAGCATCAGAATAAAAAAATTAGGGCTGGAGTTGTGGCTCAAGCAGTAGCATGCTCGCCTAGCAAATGTGAGGCACTGGGCTCGATCCTCAGCACCATATAAAAATAAAATAATTATAAAAAAAAAGAAGAAGAAAATTATCCACTAGCTGTTTCCACAGACAAATATAAAAAGGACATTTTGTTTTCAAAAATAACAGGTCACATCTTTTCTACTCTCTTCCTAAGTTGCAATTTTTCCATCTTAATTATACCATGGTGCTTTCACAGAAAAAAACTTTTTTTTTTTTTAAATGAGGATACCAGGGACTGAACTCTGGAGAATTCAACCCCTGAGCCACATCCCCAGCCTAGACATTTTTTTTTTTTTAAAGAGAGAGTGAGAGAGGAGAGAGAGAGAATTTTTATTATTTATATTTTAGTTCTCGGCGGACACAACATCTTTGTTGGTATGTGGTGCTGAGGATCGAACCCGGGCCGCACGCATGCCAGGCGAGCGCGCTACCGCTTGAGCCACATCCCCAGCCCCCACATCCCCAGTCTTATACAAAATATATACCACCTGTTTTATTTAGAGACAGGGTCTCACTGAGTTGCTTAGTGCCTTGCCATCACCACTGTTGAGGCTGACTTTGAACTCCTGATCCTACCATCCCTTTCAGCCTCCTATGCCACTGGGATTATAGGTGTGCACAAACAGGCTTGGCTACAAAAATATTCCTCTTATGTATAAAAAACTAATATGTCTGAGTAATGTTTCCAAAAAAGTGATAAAATATAGAAACAAGCCAGAGTAATTTTAATTATTTCCTCTTTTAACTCCTTGCTGTCCCACTTTTCCACCCATTAATCTCAACTCTCAGTAATTATCTTCAACTCCATTTGAAACTATTCTAGTATGAAAAAGACAATGAAAATAAAACATGTAAAGTGATTTATTTAAACAGGTAAAAAACAATCAACAAATAAGGAAAACATGACTTACCTTGAAGTTTTCCAGAAGCACCTTGTACTCTCTTCCAGCTCAAAACCAAACCACATTTCTTTAAAAGAAAAAGAAAAATTAAGTTTAATGCAAGAGAACAATTATATTCTCACTAGGAGGGGAAAAAGGAAAAACATAAATAAGATCATACCAGCAAATAAGTCTGTTGAAATTCTCTCAATCTTCACAAATTTGTATAAAATGCAAAACAAATCATTTTAAGACAAATATAAATTCTTCATTGATACTTAACAAAATTCCCTTCACTATCTTTTAATATATTAATTCCCTTCACTATCTTTTAATATATTAATTCCCTTCACTATCTTTTAATATATTAGAGACTTATACCATAAATTATCTTACAAAAAAAAAATATATATATATATATATATAAAAATTCAAGTGCCTAATATGGTTACGTGTATTTCAAATAAATTAAACTATGTATTACAGGGCTGAGCATTCAGCTCAATGGTACAGCATTTGTATACCACTTGGGAGGCACTGGGTCTGAACACCAGCACCACAAAAACAAACAAAACCCACTGTATTTTATATATAATGATATAGGAAAAAGCTTAATATGATTTACAAAGTAACTTGGACATAAATTACTAAATACAGTGATATTTTAACTGAGTAAAAAAAAAATTTTTTTTTCTGTAAAATGACTGAAGATATCCCACGGGCTGCAGGTACATACAGCTCAGTGGTAGACATGCATGCTACAACATGGCAAGATACGGGTTCAATTCCCAGTATTGTCTAATTTAAAAAAAAAAAAATCCAAAATTCTAAGGGGAACGGTTAAGTGAAGGATGGGACATTATTATATATTGAAAGTTAACAAAATATTCTAACATTATTTCTAAATATTAAAGCATAACCCAGAAGGTTTAAAAAAAGTTATTTGTAACTTTAACTGCCTGTTAAAGTGAAAGGATATGTACATTTTTCACATCTTCCTTCAGAGGAAACATTAAAATGATAGTCAAGGAATATAAAAGATAGAAGAAACCCACAAGTTCTAATAGATGGGCAAAAAGCAGCTGTCCAGACTTCATTAAAAAAAAACAAAAAAACCAAATGGCTGGGTGGTAACTCATTTAGCACAATAAGGAAGTCTATATCTTCATGTCTACAGAGGCAGATACTAAGCACAAAGAATTATACTAATCCATTCTAGAAAAACAAGTGAATCTAAATAGGAGTAAAAATGAACAATGAGGCTAAATTTTAAAAAGGGGCTTGCCTGACTTTATGAATATGAATTAAATAATCAGAGCCAAGTAGTTCAGTTAATGTGTTAATGTCTAAAGAATGAATAGAACAGGCTTGGGGTATTAAGTACCAGATAAGACAGAAGACCTGGATGAGGTAGAGTGGATTAAAGGGAAGAATGTAAAGGTATTTGTAAAGAAATGGCTGAACCCAGCACTTCACCCCCAACCCTATATAAGCAGTCAATTTGAAGGCATGGGAAAGTTTTCTAGAGAAACCAAACAGCCCCAAAGAAAAGACCTCCACATAGCAACATTCAAATCCTCTGACTGCTTGCTAAATTACCCCATGTTTGGGAAAAGCCTCATTTTTTAAACCGATCTTATGCACACAACATTCTTTTAATTCATAACTTTTAAATATGAACAGATATCCCAGACATGGTGGCATGCACCTGTACTCACAGCTATTCAGAAGGCTGAGGCAGGAGGATCATGAATGTGAGGACAGCCTTGGCAACGTAGCGAGACCCTATCTCAAAATAAAAAATAAAAAGGGCTGGGGATGCAGCTCAGTAATAGAGCACACCTGGGTTCCATAGCCAGTACCAAAAAACCCCCCAAAAACCAAAAACAAAAATAGAGGGGTCTGGCAGAAAGGCCTTTAGAAAAGAAGGGAAATTAAAATTACTTGATATATTTTAACAATTGAAGAAAAAAGGCAGGTGCAAAGTAGAAATGATGGGGAATTCTAAATTTCTAATAAATTTATAGAAACTATTAACAAAAGAATAACATAATTAACAACTCCAAGAGAACAATGAAAATGTAATCATGGTACAAGGTTTAGTTCTACCAAACTATTTACCAACCGTCATAACACTGTAATGATGTCACTATATTAAGAAATTGGGGAATGAGACTTGAGACCTATATGCAAGCTACGCTTTATCTACCAAAATAATAAGTCAACAGATAATTTCAAAAGTAATAAAGACAGTAATAAAATACAAATCAAAACAGGAATGAGATAACTTCAAATCTATTAGATATTCCAAAAAGTTAAAAATTTAAACATAGTATATTTAAACACAATATACAAGAATGGAAACAGACACTGTTGCAATTAAGTATAAATTGGTATGAGTAATTATGAGGGGAAAACTCAAGTATGCTCTAATACTTAAATTTCACTTCTGAAAGAATATGTGACAGAAGATTTTTCACTTGTACCTAGAAAGACCTATTGCCAGTAATATAACAGAATATGAAAACAATCCTTATGACTATCAATAGAAAAGTAATAGTTTATGACTATTTCTACAATACAATGATATATAGCAGAGAAAAGCAAAGTTGTTGGGTGAAAAAAAACTAAAATACAGAATTAAACCTTACAAATAATGTGTATTTATGAATCTGTAATATGCAATAAAGTAGAAAATATGCACACAAATGCTAAATCCCTAAAGTTTAGGATAACTGATAATCTGGGAATTAGGGTTTTCACTATAATGTTATATTTCTCTGGGAAAAATCTGAAGCTAGAATCATTAAGTTAAACAAAGCTGGGTTTTATGAATGGTTGTTGTCTAAATATCCAATGAAAGAAACAATTTATAAAATGGAAATGGCTATACTGCACATTATTTATAAAACAAAAAAAGATTTAAAAATACCTTCCCCAAGAAATGGTAAAGAGGGAATGTAAATACTTTCTTTTTAATTATAAAATCATGCAATATAATTCATAACAATCTGCATGTATCACCAAACTGAATTATCTTAAACAAAAAAAAGAGAAAGAAAATAAATGACTTCACAAAACCTAAAGAACTTACAATTATTTGGAATAAAAACTTCAAAGGGACTCAATCATCACTGTTTTAATAGCTGGTAGGGTAAAGGTCTCATTTTCAAAATGTAAACTCAGAGATTACTTATTTAGGATACCAAAGGAAAAGGTACCCTTAACAGGGAAAAGGTCTGACCACCTTAACCAAGTAACTCAACACCAAAGACAGGATCAATGGGGCATCATGTCTTATCTCTTGCTATTCTATCCTAGGAAGAATGCATCAGTTATCAAAAATGCTTACTTTGAATCTAGAGCAAACAAGCTGACATCCAAATTGGGAGAAACATTCTGCAAAGAACTGAACTCAAAAATATCGATGTCAGGGAGGAAAAAAAAAAAAAAAAAAACAAGTAAAAAAGGCAGGGGATTTATTCCATATTAAAAAGCTATACAGGGCTGGGGTCATGGCTCAATGATAGAGTGCTTGCCTCACACACATGAGGCACTAAGTTCAATCCTCAGCACCAACTAAAAATGAATAAAAACAGATATTGTGTCCATGTATAACTAAAACAAATTTAAAAAGCTGTATATCCATGTCCGGTGGCACATGCCTATAATCCTAGGAAACTGGAAGGTTAAGGCAAGAAGATAACAAGTTCCAGGTCAGCCTAGGACAACACAACAAGACCCATCTCAAAATAAAAATGAAAAAAAAAAGGGAGCGGGGTGTGGAGATCTAGTAAGTTGCAGAGAGCTTGCCTAGCAAGCACCAGAACCTGGTTTGATCCCCAGTAGTGCAAGAAGAAAATAAAAAGCAAAAAGTTGTCTAAAGAGGCATGACAATTAAAGGAATTATAGATCACAGATTGTAAACCAAAAACTTACTATGGCCATGACTGAAAGATTAAATATGAATTAGATATATTTTAGTTAACAATACCTTATCAACTTTAAATTTTTATATAGTTTATATAGTTTCATAATGTTTCTCAAGCTATTCTCAAACTCCTGTGTTCAAGTGATCCTCCCGCCTCAGCCTCCCAAGTAACTCGGACTAGAGAAGAATGACATTGCACCCAAATTACAGTTCTTAACTGTAATAACAATGGCACTGTCATTATGCAGGAGATTGTCCTTACTCTTAGGAGATACACTTCAGACTCAGGTGAAATGCCACATGACACTCACCTTCAAATTATTTGGGATGGGGAACATACACGGTAGAGACAAAATAAATCTATCAAAATGTGTTTGGGTTTACTGAACCATTCTTTCACCTTTTCTGCAGTTTTAAATTTCTTCAAAATAAAAATAGGGAAAAATAATCATTCAAAATCCTGATTTTTAAAATTTATAAAAATTTAATGAAAAGTAAACAGTTTAACTTACAGCTAGGAGCTGTCGTATAAGCATGTCTGAGGCTTTCTCGGATATGTTGCCAACAAAAACCGTAGTAGTGGGACCACAATTTTCATCATTTTCTTTTGCCTTTAAACCTGGATGATCCTTCCTTGCTCCCAAATGCTTTCCGACCATGGACACAGTGGGTACTAAGACCTATGATAAAGAAGGGCCATAAATTTGATCTGGAAAATAATTAGATTTCCTATTACATTTAGTGTAACATTATGCTAAAAACTGGTAAGAGTATAGCATATATTAAAGCTTTAATATTGAAGCTCCCAAAGCATATGGCATACTCCACTAATCCAAATTTACTCATAACCAGCTTTTGCCATTAGATTGTTTTCAAATACTTGAAAAAGCAAATAAAAAGTCATTAAGACACATTTTTTGAATGTTGAAGACATCATAAATCCTTTAAAATTAAATAAAATCCAGAAACTTTTTCACATCTAATATTCTTAGTATCCATATAAAAGCAAATTCCATTTATCCCTGCTAATCCTGTAACAGAATATTCAAATATTCCATAGCACTCTTCCAAACTAACACTTTACCCTTTGTTAAAAGTTGAAATTCCAAGTTTGCTTTCCCAACTTTCAACTTTCCAGAGGAAGGAACTATTCTTTCTACTTAAATCAGCCACAGACCCTCAGTAAGAACTTGACAAACAGTGGCAAGCTGAGGGAGCTCCTCCAAACCTGAATCCCATCTTTTCCTATCCTGAAATACAAGTGGGAAGAGTAAACATCACTTGGAGACTTTCTAAAATAGTTTAACTATGGGTGTCCAATGCAAGAAAAGCTGGACTTCCCATGGGCTGAGAACCAAATAGTCTCAGTGGTCTACCTCAGAGCAGATTTCCAATTTCTCTGATGTATTTCCTTCCTCTCCCTTTGACATGAGTAATATTCCCCTCCCTTTTCAAAACCCAAAGATAAAAAAGAAACAATAAAACATACACAGTTGAAAGTAATGAGATCTAGTCTCTCACAGAATTCCAAATGAAGTCTGTTATACCAATTAATTCAAAGAAAAATTCTAGCTAAATAAAACAGGATTCTCATTATGTGCTACAGTACAGCAGCATTATTTAATGCACTTTGAAGGTTTGATTATTATGGAGAATTAGGGTTTAAAATACAAGAATGAACACTTCAGCAGAAGAAAAGCTTATAAAACTTAAAAATATATTTAAAAAAAGAGAAAATAGATAAGAGTAAAAAGGGCCAAACACAAGAGGAGGGAGGAAAGAGTGAAAAGATACTTTACACAAATTACTTTTCAACATTTAAATTTTTTTGGGCCCATTCATTCCAATATTCCTTTTAAGGTCAGATCATTCTCCCATCACCCAGGACCAAGATAAGATGAGGGAATGATCAAAAAGCCACTGTACCAAATCTCTAAAAGCCAGTATGTGAAAAGTCTAAAAAGAAACAAAGATAGATCATAAAATTGATTAATTTAGGGAATGTTTTAGAACACAGTCTCTCTCTTCTCTAGACACACACACACACACACACTCTCTCACATGTATAGCTAAGTAAAACTTACTCAAATTAGTGGTAGAAAATTCATAGGAAATCTCATCATTTGTTTACTAATTCTAACTATATCAAGATTTTTAGCTTTAAAAGCACCTTTTAGGACTATCACAACAACTTTCCTTCTTTAAATTATACTTACAGTTGGAGCAGGAGCCATAATGCTCATTGGTACAGGAATCATTGGGGTCCCTAAAAAAAGGAAAAAAGCACAATGTGATTCAAGAATACTATTAGCCAGGCACAGCAGCATATGCCTGTAATTACAGTGGCTCAGGAGTTTCAGACAAGAGGATCATGAGTTCAAAGACAGTTTCAGCAGCAGCTCAGTGAGACCCTGCCTCTAAATAAAATACAAAATAGGGCTGGGGATGTGGCTCAGTGGTCCAATGCCTCGAGTTCTATCCCCAGTACCAAAAAATAAAAGAGTATTCAAATACGACCATGTTCTATATCAACTACATGCCATACAAGTAATTATCCTAATTCACAGCTAATATAAATAGAAACACAGGATAAAGGAAAATAAAACATTAATGAATAATGTCTTATTTTCATAAGTAATGTGGTATCAGATTGATCTGTATGAACTTATAACAATAAACTATTTGAAATGGGCACAGTAGTACAAGGCTATATTCCCAGCTACTCAGGAGGCTGAGGCAGGAAAAATCACAAGTTTCAGGACAGCTTCAGCAACTTACTGTCTTAAAGATGAAATATAAAAAGGGACAGGAAAGTGGCTCAGTGGTTAGGCACCCTGAGTTAAACCCTGGTACAAAAAGAAAAAAAAAAAGTGGGGGAACTTGGCATATAGCATAGTACAAATCACCCCTGGGTTCAATTCCTAGTACTATAAGAATAAACAAAAAAAAACTATCCTGAAATCAAAATGGCTATCCCATCTCTTTTTTTTTAATAACTTTATTTTTATTTATTCTTTTTTTTTTTTTAATGTGGTGCTGAGGATAGAACCCAATGCCTCACATGTGCTAAGTAAGTGCTCCACCACTGAAGATCGAACCCAGTTCTCTTTTGCTTTTAAGGAATATAAAATTCTGGACAATTATCACTTTGTTTTCATCTGTTTCCGTGATCCTCAAAACAGCCTTAACAAACAGATTCACAATTATGGGTAAACAATGGTACCAACGATATATGAAAACTATATAAAGGGGTCTAGGTTGTAACTCAGTGGTAGAACACTTGCCTAGCATGCATGAGCACTGGGTTCCATCGCCAGCACCACATAAAAATAAACAATAAAATAAAGGTATTCTGTCCATCTTAAAAAAAAAACCCTATATTAATTCACAAAACTAAAGAAAAGACCATGAGTTTAAATTAACAACCTTTCAGGGTGTATCAGGAGCCTGATCTGATGGACACAGTGAGACAAAATTATGTTTTTATAGATTTAAGACTCTGATTTTTAAAACTCTTTTCAATTGGAATAGAAATAGTACCAATGGGGGCTAGGGTTGTGGATCAGCAGTAGAGCACTCACCTCACACGTGCAAGACCCTGAGTTCGATCATCAGCACCACATAAAAATAAATAAGTGAAATAAAGGAATTGTGTCTAACAACAACTAAAAAATAAAAAATTTTTTCAAAAAAGAATGAAATGGTACCAATGATTCCCAAGAATTAAAAAAAAAAACCATGAAATCAATATTACATTTAAGAAGTAACAACACAGAAGTCAAATAATAATTTTTGTGTGTGTAGTGCTGAGGATTGAAGCCAGTACCTTGCACATGCTAGGCAAACGTTCTAACATGAACTACAATCCCAGTCCAAATTTTATAAAACATAAAACAACTGTAGGACGAGTACAGTGACCCAGGCCTGTAATCCCAACAACCAGGGAGGCCAAGGCAAAAGGATTAGAAGTTCAAGGGCTGCAGGCCTCAGCAACTTAGCAAGACTGTCTCAAAATAAAAAATAAAGGGCTATGGCTGTAGCTGAGTGGTAGAGCACTCACCTAGCACTTGTGAGGCACGGGGTTTGATTCCCTCCCTCAGCACCACATAAAATAAAGATATTGTGTCCATTTACAACTTAAAAAAAAAAAAAAAAAAGGACTGGTTCAGTGGTAAAGCACCCCAGGTTCAATTCCCAGTAGCAAAAAAAAAAAAACAAAACATGATGATTACAACTAACATATTATAGTCTTGAAAACTAAAAAGGTTAAGTGTTCTCAACAAAAAAATATGTATATGAAGCAATGCATATTTTAATTAGCTCAATTTAGCCATCCCACAATGCATACAATTTCAAAACATGCACAACAATTATATATAATTTAATTAAATAAAGTAAAAACAAATATTTAGAGTTAGAAAAAAAGAAGATATCAAATAAGAAATTAATCTGGAAACCCAACAAGAACATTGTTATTTCTGATTCTTTCACAGAAAAATACATTCCAAAAAATGAGACCTGTAATTTCAGCTGCTATCAAAAAGAAAACTAATCTGTAAGATAGACATGTATTGCTTAAGACTTGTCTACTACTGTTTATGGATATCTTTTCAATTACAATGTTTGCTAAGTAATAGCTATATGGAGAGTTCTTTAATCCCTCCTTGTTCACAGAACTAAGGACGAAATCAGATGATTTGAGAACTTAAGAAAAAGGTTGTAATGAGATCAAAATTAATCAAAGATGTGACTACCATTCTAATATAAATTTTAAAATGCTTCTAAGTAGCCAGGTGCAGTGCATGCCTTTAATCCCTGTAATTCAGTAAGCTGAGGCAAAAGGATCACAAATTTGAAACCAGCCTGGGCAACTTAGTCAGACCCTGTCTGAAAACAAAAAATAAAGGGCTGGGAGCAGTGGCACACACAGCTCATGAGGGTGACATAGGAGGATCATTAATTTAGTGCCAGCCTCAGCAATTCAGTGAGGCCCTAAGCAATTCAGCAAGAACCTGTCTCTAAGTAAAATATAAAAAAGAGTCAAGGATGTGGCTTAATATGTAAACACCCCTGAGTTCAATTCCCAGTACTGAAAATATGAAAATAAATTCTTCCAAATATCACGAAGTTCTGAAATCACCCTTCAGTTCAAATTTAACATGAATTCAAGATAATTCCCCATCTAAAACTGGTAATAAATTCTTAAACATGTACCACTGTCCCTTTATTTTCAAATGTTTTTTATTTAAAATAATTACAGTTTTCACAATATTTTTTAAAGATATAGATTACAGTTCCTATCAATGTCCAGAATAAACTGCAAAATAGACTTCAGGATCAAATCTGCATTGGGCTGGTGTTGCTGCCTACCATGTGTGAGGCACTGAGTTCAATCCTTAGCGCCATAAATAAATAAATAAATAAAAATAAACGTCCACTGACAATTAAAAAGAAGTTAAATTGGAGTTTGATTCTTGGTTCTATCATTTTAACTTGTGAACCTTTAGGAAAGTACTTTAACTTCTGCTGCAGTTTCCTCAATTCTACTAAAATAATTAGTCCTTCAAGAGTGCCTATAAAATTGTGATAACTTGTATGAATCACTAAAGTAAAGCAGCTAAAAGAGGCTGTAACAACCTATGGTCCTCAAGCACCCTTCACTGTAAGCTTGGTCGAATCCATTAACAACTTGAACATGACGCCAGCAGATTGGGCTAATATGTGTAAAGCTGTGCTAAATGGAGGTCAATACCTGTTATGGAAGGTTGCCAATGAGGAATTTTGCAAGGAGACGGCTAGGCGAAATGCAGCAGCTGGTTATCCTCAGAGAAATTTAGATATGTTGTTAGGAAAGGGACCTTATGAGGATCAGCAGCAACAATTTGCATAGGATCCTGGCTTATATGCACAAATTGCTGTAGAGGCGGTTAGGGCATGGAAGACTTTACAAGGACATGGAGGTTTACAAGATCAATTATCTAAGGTAATACAAGGAGCTAATGAATCTTATGCTGAATTTGTAGATAGGCTTATTCAAACAGCTACCAGAGTTTATGGGAATACAGAACAAGCAATGCCATTAATAAAACAACTGGCTTATGAGCAAGCGAATCGTTGATGCAGAGATATCATTAGACCATGGAAACATGAAGATTTAAACACATATATTAAATTATGTAGAGACATTAATGAACAAGGGCAAACTGTGGCAGCTGCAGTAAAACAGGCTTTAGATCCCAGGCCAAGAACATGCTACAATTGTGAAGAAATGGGACATTTTAAAAGGAATCGCCCCATAGGAGAAGGGTTTAACAAAACTAGGTATCAAAGGAGTAGAATACCAGGTAGAATACCAGGTAATTGCCCACAATGCCGTAGAGGGAGACATTGGGCGAATGAATACCGTTCTCAAACCACCATAGAGGGTACTCCACTATCAAAAAACGAAAAAGGACCAGGTGTTTATCCACGATATCGTGGAGAAAGGCATCGGGCTCCGTTGCCAAAAAACGGACAGGGTGGCCCAATGCTCCGGGGCCCAAAACCACAAATATACAGAGCACTGGAGGAACCCAGCAACCCCATCAGGGTAGTGCCCAGGAAACATTGTCCATCAGATCCCTCATCAGACAAACCAGAGGGAACGCAGGGTTGGACATCTGCACCTCCGCCAGATCAGTACTAACTCCAGAGATGGGAGTTCAAATCATTCCCACAGGGGTAAAAGGACCTCTTCCCAAAGGAACAGTAGGCTTATTATTGGGACGCAGCTCTTCTACTCTAAAAGGACTTWTGATAAGTCCTGGGGTAATTGATCCCGATTATGAGGGTGAAATAAAAATCATAGCCAGTTCTCCAAAGGGTATATCAGTAATTTCACCAGGAGATAGAAGAGCACAGTTACTAATAATACCAAGCCTACATGATAAATTTTCCAGTAGTGCTGTAGAAAGAGGTTCCAAGGGATTAGGCTCCACAGGTGTAGATTGGGCTATGCTTTCTTTAGATTCTCACCCCATGCTAAAACTAAATATTCAAGGACATAAATTTAATGGGCTACTGGATACAGGTGCAGACCTTAGCATCATCTCATCAAGAATGGCCAAAACATTGGCCATTGCAACAAGTCACTCAAACGCTTGGAGGCCTAGGAGTGGCGACTAATCCC